CAAAATCTAAATAAAAAACTAAATATAGATAGTTTGAATTGTTCATAAACTTAAAAACTTATATTATCATTTAAAAAAAAACTTATATTATATATAAATTTATTAATATATGAATACACTCTTGTGCATAGTACAAGTTTAAAACCAGTAAGGAAATAAAATTAAAGTCATAATTTATATGATTTGGACAAATAATTAAAATATAAAAAATTATTAAATATATTGATAATGAAGTTTTTTAATTTTACCAGTAATATTAAATTGATAGCACATGTTTTTTGGTGTATATTTTAAAAAATAAGAAAAGTAATTGAGAAAAAAAAAAAAAACATGTGTTACTATCTTAACTTTACTTGTGGAGTTAAAAGGCTCTATTATCCATATATCAAATAATTTGTTTAAAATATAATATCAAGTATAAGATAATCAATTTATACAAAAATAGAAATATCCATTTTGTAAATGCAACAAAATTACATATTTCACATATAGTTTTTTAAAATTATTAACTTTTGTATCAAGTGTGTGTGTGTGTGTTTTTTTTTAACCTCTAAACTAAAACATAAAAAATTAATAAAGGAGTAATTAAAAAAATTTAAAATTCAACTTAGTTGATTTATACGGTTAAATTTAAGAGTTGACATCTAATAGATTTGAATTTAAATCTTAACACTTCAACTCATTTCCTTATCTTAAGGTTGTAGCTTTTTTATTAAAAGAACAAAAATAAGAAATGCATGCATTCTTTAAGAAAATTATTTTAACATCTCTTGAGAAAGTTTTGAACTCTATAAGAGGGAATTTGATTTATGGATTCTTAAATATTGAGAGGGTAAGTGATTTCAAATGAAAGTGATAGTCAAAAGAAAATAATAATTCTTGTTTTTTTATTGATATTAAAAAATATAAAATTTTTATATTTAGTTCGCAGACACATATACAATACATTACATTCAAATAATAATTTTTTAAATATTTTCAAAATATATTTATTTAACACATAAATAACTAATAGAAATATTAATATGATATGTGAATAATATAAATTAATTTTATGATCATACTACATCAAATTTTGTAATTTATTAATAAAATAATTGGTAAATATAATTTATTAATAGCTTTAGGGTCGAGTTTTTTTCTTAAAAAACGGGTTTCGGATCGGGTCGGGGTCGGGTTTAATTTTTGAAATGTCGGTTTCGGGTCGGGGTCGGGTTTATATGAAACCCGAACCGACCCGACCCGAGATATTTACTAAAATACCCTTAATATATATATGTAATTTTTTTTTAGGGTTTCTAAGTTTCGATTTGCTTTCAATGTTTTGTTTTTCGTCCGTCTATCCTTCTTCATTCCTGTTCGATTTGTTTCAAAATTTTCATTCCACCTATCCAATTCCAGCCCATTCCCACCTGTTTTATCCATTAACTTCCATCTATTTAGCTTTCTTCCTTCGAATCTTGCTTCTTATTTCAACAAAAAAAGCCATCAAGCTAGAAAGTAGTTAAAGTTAACAGGACAGAAAGACAGGACGAGTTTGCAACCATTTGTAATCTCCACAATGCCAGGATACCAGCCAGACAACAGTTTTGAGGTAAGCCCAAAATCATCTTCCTTACCCTCTACTGTTAATGTTATGTCAAGCATGTTAAGTTTTTATAGAGACTTGGATAGTTTCAATTTCAGATTTCAGACAAAGCTGAACTCTGCTGAACCGGCTGGTTCTGGTTTCATGTTCTGTTGCAACTTGCAAACCATGTTTTGTTACAAAACCATGTGCTGTTTCGAAACCATGTTCTGTTGCAAACCATGTGCTGTTCGAAACCATGTTCTGTTGCAAACCATGTGCTTGCAAACCATGGGAGGGGTTTTGGATAAACTTTTTACGTCTTTGAGGGAGTTGAAAAAGGCTATGTTTTAAAAATTGGTTTTGTAACTTTTCAAGAACAAAGTAATGCCCTGCAGAATCGGAAAACCTTAGCTACGATTGTAGGTTTTCCAGAAATCTTTTCGGGTTTCTTTTTCTTTAAGAACAAAAAAAATTTGAAAAATCCTTGCAGTGTAAATAATATTTGTAACGGGTCGGAGTCGGATTTTTCACTAAAACCTCCGAACGGGGACGGGTCGGGTATCGGGTAGAAGCACTAAGGCTTCGGGTCGGAGGTGGGGAAAGCAAAAATCCGACCCGTCCCGCCCCGCTGCCATCCCTAAACTTGACGTGTGTTCATGTGAATCGACAATGTATGGGTTGGGTTTGCTTTCCTTCACACATCTTATTTTCAATATTTTTATATAATAAAAGATAGAATATATGATGCTTGATTATAACAACCATAATCTTTTATGGAATAAATTACGGTTGTTATAAACAAATGTCATTTATTCCATAAAATGATAAATAAATAAGTAAATATGTAAAAAGTTATATTTCATACTTATTTAACATGCAAAGTATCACATATTTATTTTATATATTAAACAATTTTTTGATTAAATAGTAAATAATTTACCATGTAAAAAGCTCTTGATATAATATATATACGATAATAATATATATAATATAATAAAATTTATTAATTGAAAATAAATATTTTATTACAAATATTTATTTCATTCCAAATAATTAAAATATTATTGATATAATATAAATACATTAATAATTTTTATTATTATATATTTATTAAATCAAATCAAATTATTTGTAAAAAAACTCAATTAAGTAATAAACTAAAATTACTAAATTAATTTCTATTTTTATAAAATGACATTTTCCTATACGTGATGCTAGATGTCAAATGCTAAGACTACATTGCCTCTATGGGTGATAGATTAAGTATTGGTTTATGGAGCATTTTTTGTGATATTAAAAAATACGATGAACACTAAATATCAATTATTGAGGGTAAAAGTGAGATAAATTTTATATTTCATTAAAAATTTTAAAAAACTCCATGGAGAGAGGGTTTTTTATTTCAAGCTATTTTCCCTCTTTTTGACACTATTAATAAATTTAGAAAATATTAAGGAATCACATTCTATAAATCAAATATAAAAAATCAAGTTACAAAAAAAAAAAATTTAGGGAAATCTTAAAATTTACGATCGAAACGCTCTCTAAGAAAATTATCGAATAATTTATTAAGATATAATTAATATAATTAATAAATTAATATGATAAATAAAAAAATTATATGATAATATTTTAATTCTACATGAAAAATTTAAAACTTTTATGAATGAAGTATAAAATAATAATTTAATTCTTTAATATATGAATATGTTGTTGGTGGGTGCATCATTCATTATTTGTGTATTCTTTTTTTTATTTTTTATTTTTTAAGAATTTCTTAACTTACAATCAAATTTATAGGGGGAGAGAGCAAGCACCAAGGGTTTTAACTTTTTAAGTGCCGTACGTGTGAATTAGGTGGACTTATTAATAAGATTTTTTATTTATCCTACAACAAAACCAAGGAGGCTTAAGGCCCATTTTATCAACCGCAAATAGAGCTTGTAATTTTATTCCCAATGATATCCACATAAATTATGTAAATTAACTAATTATTTCATGAACTTGACGTGGATGATAATCTAGCCCTTAAATGGTGGATTAAGAGTTGTTTTTTTAATGTTGCAAATCCTAATAATTTTAAGAAAAATGCAAAATGGATGAGCCGAATTTGGGAACTTTTAGTATTTAAAGGTATAAAAATAATTTATCAAAATTATGTATTTGTTAATTTTAAAATTAATAAAAGTTATGAACCGAATTGAAAATTATAATTTTTTTGGGAAAAAATTTATGATGAAAAACATTGAATACAAAATTTTTATATGAAAAAAATGACAAAGCTTCATCTTGTGAAGTTTTTAGTTTTGGGTAAGATTAAAAGTGAAATTATTTGCATAGAATTTTTATTTTCCTTAATAACATCAAGCCATGTGTTAAAATTATTGATTTAGTATTGCAACTTAAAATTAAAAGAAAAATAATATATCAAAATTGGATTTAACCCAAATGGTTCATTTACTTTCCCCAAGAGTTGGATTCTTACAAAATTGTAGTTGGTAATCTTGCAATTCTCTTTTTCCAATTCTCATTTAAGTCTTGATTTCTTTTGTTATAAAAAAAAATCAATCTTAAGTTAATGTTGAGTTTAAATATAATATGTATATAAATATAAAATTTAATTCAATTTATTCATATAATTATTTTTAAAAAGTAATATTCACATATCAATAAATATAATTCCTTTTTTTTTTATCTCCAAGACTTTATCATCTTGCATAAAATACAAACAATATGTCTATTTTTATTTAAATGTATTAAGTAAATTATTTTTTGCAAAAAAGATTAAAGATATCTCATACTTTACTTGAATTTAAATTTTTTTAATCTAAAATATATTCTCTTATATCAATATCATACATTCAAATATTATTCTCCAAACAGTTGTCATAGTAATTAAATCTATTTTTTTAAAAAATTTATCCTTTACCAATTAAATAAATTTAATAATTTAAAATATGATATAATAAAATAATATAATTTATAATTTTATTAATAATTATATATAAATTTAATAAAATAAAAAATATATTTTATATTTTTATATCGATGTAAATTATAATACATAATTTTTATATAAAATATAATATAATTACTAAAAATTTTAATTTTTTTATCATATAAATATTACCAAGTTTGCCATTTCCTAATCCAAAACAAATTCGTGTAATTAAATAATATAAAATTTGATAAAAGTTGGAATCCACTAACTACTAAAAATTCCATCATGGCATCATCTATGATATATACCTCAGCGATACGTATGTCAACACCAACGCGATGGTTTAATGCACTCATCGGCATCACGAGTCATGACGAAATAACTTTGGACAAAATTTATAATAAAATCACGAAATTGCCATCCACTCACCTCACTTTGCCCCCTTCGTCTCTTTGTCTCTCCGTGTCTCCCATCACCCCCCCACCCCCCCACAAAAAGCAACCAGAAAAAAAATAAAAACAAACAAAACAAAAACCTTCAATAAAACGACGAGTCGACGGCTCGCTCCGCCTCCATCGAGTCACCACCACCCACTAACTCGCTCCGCCCTTTCCTTTTTAAAGACTTATATCCATCTTCACCCAATTCGGATTTCTGATCACCCTCGATCCGATCCGAATGTACGATTCCAAATCTTCCCTTCTAATCCTACTCTTCCTAATCAATTGCCTCTTCTTTTCCGATGCCGATTCGGGTCGGAAGTGCTCCAACACGAGCTCCCTAAACGGGTTCGAATCGAACTTCACGATGGTCCAACACCAACTCCGAGGCCATCTCAAAATCCTCGACGACTGCTCTTTTGAAGTCACCCGATTCGACATGTTATCTGGGTCATCCGACGTCATTTTCTGGGGCGCTGATTCCCTCGACTTCTCTAACTTCACCCGTGGGTTCCCCATCTCCGATCATCGACTCAATCAAACAACTTATAAAAAGGCATCATTTTCCGTCCAATTATTTCCCAACCTTACCTGGGATCAGATCAACGTTCTCTCCATCTGGGACATCACCACCACCTCAGACTTCGGCCACGTTACCCTCCCTTTAAACGGGTCGGACCAGGACTCGGACCTGGTACATACAATGTTCGATAACTGCAAGAACTTGTCGGATAATTATAGAGTTCGTTGGAGTTTGAATGTGGAGGAAAATTGGATCGAGATCGGGTTAGAAGCAGCGACACGGACGATGAATTACATGGCGTTTGGGTGGGCGAATCCGAATAGGACGAAGGAGCTGATGTCCGGAGCTGACGTGGCGGTGGCCGCTTTTACAGAGGAAGGTAGGCCGTTTGTTGATGATTTTTACATTACAAGGTATAGTGAATGTATGTTGGATACTAAAGATGGTTCAGCAATAGGTGTTTGTCCTGATGTAGTTTATGAGAACTCAAAAAATAACATGATGGTAAATAATACTAGGTTGGTTTATGGACATAGGAGAGATGGAGTTTCCTTTGTTAGGTATAGGAGACCGTTGAAATCGACTGATGAGAAATATGATTTGCCCGTGAATCCTACAGAGGAAATGACAGTTATTTGGGCATTAGGGATGATGAAACCGCCGGATACTATTCGCCCGTATTATTTGCCCCAAAATCATGGGGGTCCGAAGAAGGTTATGTATGGACATTTGGTGATTAATGTTTCAGAAAGTGTGGATGATTGTTTTGGGCCATTGGATGCCAAGGATAAGGAGGATCAAGATTTGATTATTGCTGATGCAAATGTTCCACTTGTTGTTACAACAGGGGAGGCGTGGCATTATCCAAATCCGCCAAATCCGTCTAAGGTTTTGTATATTAACAAGAAGGAAGCTCCGGTGTTGAGAGTGGAAAGAGGGGTGCCGGTGAAGTTTTCGGTGCAGGCAGGGCATGATGTTGCATTGTATGTTACTTCAGATTGTCTAGGTGGGAATGCAACATCGAGGAATGCAACTGAGACTATTTATTCTGGAGGGCCGGCAGCGGAAGGAGTTGTAGCAAGCCCTTACGAATTGGTTTGGGCCCCCGATAGGAATACCCCTGATCAAGTGTATTATCAGTCATTGTACCAGCAGAAGATGGGATGGAGAGTTCAAGTTGTTGATGGTGGTCTATCTGATATGTATAACAGTAGTGTGTTTTTAGATGATCAACAAGTTACTTTCTTTTGGACATTGTTAGAGGATTCAATATCTTTTGCTGCCCGTGGTGTAAAGAAGAGTGGCTATCTTGCAATAGGTTTTGGTAGTGGAATGGTGAATAGCTATGCTTATGTGGGCTGGATTGACAATACTGGAAAAGGGCGTGTAAATACATATTGGATTGACGGAAAGGATGCCTCTAATGTGCATCCAACGAATGAGAACCTGACCCATGTCAGGTGCAGATCAGAAAATGGCATCATTACTTTGGAATTCACACGTCCCTTTAAGCCATCATGCAGTCATAATAATAGGCCAGAGTGCAAAAACATTCTTGATCCAACAACTCCTCTTAGAGTAATATGGGCAATGGGTGCTAAGTGGACTGATGAACACCTTAGTGAGAGAAATATGCATTCTGTCACGAGTCAAAGGCCCGTACGGGTGCTGCTTATGCGAGGTTCATCTGAGGCGGAGCAAGATTTACGCCCGGTCCTAGCTGTACATGGGTTTATGATGTTCCTTGCTTGGGGTATTTTGCTTCCTGGTGGAATATTGGCTGCTAGGTACCTAAAGCATGTAAAGGGTGATGGATGGTACCAAATTCACGTTTACCTACAGTATTCAGGATTAGCAATTGTCCTACTTGCCCTTCTTTTTGCAGTAGCTGAACTTCGGGGTTTCTTTGTCAGCTCATTACATGTTAAGTTTGGCATTGCTGCTATATTTTTTGCCTCTGTGCAACCAGTGAATGCGTACCTCAGGCCTAAGAAACCTGCTACTGGGGAGGAGGCTTCCTCGGAGAGGCTTCTTTGGGAGTATTTCCATGTAATTGTTGGCAGAGGTACCATTGTTGTAGGAATCGCGGCACTTTTCACTGGAATGAAGCATTTAGGAGAAAGATATGGAGGAGAAAATGTTCACGGACTTAGCTGGGCATTAACAATGTGGTTCTTAATTGGTGCATTGATGGTCATTTATTTGGAGTATCGTGAAAGACAGCGGAGAAGGAACAGATTATTAGGAAGGGGCAACTGGGTTCTGGGTAATGTTGAAGAAGAGGATTCTGTTGACCTTTTAAGCCCAAACCGGGCTTCTGCACAAAATGGTTTGCAGAATTCTGGACTAATGGAAGTTCAGTTAGAGCCATTGAACAGATAGATTTATTGATACATATAAATATTTTCTGTTTGGATATAAGAGCTCCATTCTTCACCAGTTTTGAAAGTTTTCTACCAACATGGAGGTTAGCAGAGCTGTTTATTTTCTTGGATGCCTTTCCCCAGTGTTAGGAGGGCTTTACACTGGGAATTTTTTCTGCCTCCGACCATTTCCTGTGAAGAGTAATTTGTCTACAGCATGTATTTGTACACTTGATACACCTTTTAGCATAGTGGAAGGTTATATCAATTTATCAATCTCATTTCTCTTGAATGAAATAGACCTTACTTTTCTCAGATGAGATCAGCCATTAGATTGTCAAATTTTCTTTTGTCTTGAAGTCACCGTACTCACAAATGATTCATGGATACTCTAACATACAATCAAGTTTCTTTTTCTCTTTCTTTCAGAACATTTTGCTTTTGGTGGCAAAATAATAGTCAACCAATAATAGTTCACGATGCATGTGTTATTTCTGTTACCAGTGACGACCTTTCTGTTATCTTGTGTCCCAGTAATAATATGTTATAGCGTGTGAAACTAGCTTAGCTACTGAAGCCTTTTTCTATGTCAAAGTGAGTGCACGTTCACCATTTCTTTTGTTAGGAAAAAAATTACATCTGTTTTTTCCCTCAAGAAGTGGCTCTATAATTGGAAATTTGAAATGATTGCAATAAATTAAATACCTATAATATTGTTTGTTGCTGAGAAAAAGAAGGCATTTCAAAGTAATATATGTCTATATCAAATTTATAGGTAAAATCTAATTGTTAGCAGAAATTCAGAGGAGTTAAAGATACCCTGATAAGTAAGTGAAGATACCTTAATTTATCTTGGCTGATGCATGTAGTTTTGTTGAAATCATATGTGATATTCCATTGCTTCGGCTTATGACATGTTGTGGTATGGAGGATGTTATATGCAACTATATAATTCTTGCTTTATGTTGCTTTTGTTATTTTTCTTCACTTCTACTGTCAAAAATCTTGAAGCTAACAGCTTATATGCCATTGTGACTGTTGGGATTATATTTTTACTTTGTTTGACTTCATAAGCTGTCTTCTTCAACTTGTAAACAGCCTAGTGTTTGCTTTACCCATATACACTTGCTTGGTACTCATCTAGAAATTACAAAGGCCTATTGCAGCAAAGACCTAAAGGCAGAACTGGGACTTGGGTTGATTTTTGAAAACAATAAAAATGTTCAATGGAAATGGAAAGAATTGAGACTCAGCCTTTTTCTGGTTCTAAGGTATGACCAACTTTCTATGCCAGTTTTGTTTATGTTGAACTGATAAGGTTTTTTTTCCTAATTAACAACAGTAATAAATTAGCTGCAAAGTTTAATTGAATTAAGAACTGAGAAGTTATCCAGTCAATTGCCGAAAAGCATTTGTATGTAGCTGCTGCATTTGGCATAGTTCTAGGGTTTAAAATCTCAACATTTGTATATATCTACTGCATTTAACATAGTTCTATGATTTAAAAAATCTCACCAGGTGATGCAGCCAGGTCATACTGTCATTATGTTTTTGCCAATGATATAAACTTGATGCATGTGATCTCAGATTTAAACTTATTTCTTTGCTTCAGAGGCTTATGCTAGGTGGTGGTTGGGAATGGGGTGGGGGGGGTCGAATTTTAGGTAGAGATCCCAAGTTTGAGCTGTTGTGCACATTAATAATATAAGATAATAGTATACCCTGAAAGTTTTGTTTAGTTTCCAAGAATTATTTTGTGAGCTTTCATTTTTGCAGCTGAAAAAGTTTATCTTAATACAAACACTTTTGGTTGTTTATTACATAGCATCTTGGTTTGGACCTCTTTTCCTCTCATTGCATCTTTATGTAGTACTCAAACACAGGATAAATGGAGAGAAGCTGTTAACGTAGATGTGCAAAAAGGTATATAAAGTGTATTTGTGTTTATTAGTTTGCCTTATTTGCGTTCTATTGTTTTTGTAGTAAATATGATTTTGCATCACACGAGCGGAGATATATAATCTGTTTTTCAAGATTCGAACTTGAAACCTCTATAGGCTTTGCAAGTAAGAAGGATGAAAAAGAGCGAGGATAAAAAATTTATTAATATAATAATTAAATTTCATAACTATTTTCCTATTTTTTAAATTAATTATTAAATTAATATATATTTTTTTATCTTCATCCCTTTCCATCATTTTTAGCAAGCAAAGCCTAACCGTTAAAATTCATAATGCTGACTGCACATTATTTTCTTCTCATTTTCATATCAGGAGATGATTATATCTAAATCAACAATAATAATCAAAGTAAGACAAAATAGAAATTAAGTACTATCTTATTTTCATCAAATTAAGAAAGTCGTTGGGGTCCCTTATTATTTGTTCACTGAAAATTCAACAAATGCTGCAACTGTTGTCTTTTATATTGATAGATACAATTATGCTTTTGCCATTCTCCTTTGAAAAACATGAGTTAAGGTCAAATAAGCAAGAATTGAAAAGATGTTTAACCATTTAGAAGTTCGTCAGGTCAACTAAATGTCCCATTCCAAGACTTAGGCTTTAGGGGTCCTCTTCTTACTTTTTTTTTTCACTCCAAGTTATTGAGATTGAATTTTTTTTTTTATTACTGAAACTAACTATTTAAATATAGTATTATATCAATAAACCACACGATTATTTGCGTTTTCTTTTTACTTTGTTCGTTGAATTGAGGAGTAGTTACTTTGGATCTTTTCTATTTTTCTTTATTTTATTTTCTTCTTTATTTTTTCTTTTCAATTATCCTAAAATTATCAAGTTGTCTCTTAAAGGATTAAAGAACTTTTAGGGTTTTTTTTTTTTTTTTTTCTTTTGGATCATTCTTCATTTCTTTATTTTTTTTTTCAAGTATCCTAAATTAAAATAATATAATTTATAATAATTTAGAAAAAATTAAGAATGTACATTTTAATCATTTTTTTATGATTTGAGTTAAAGTATTTTTGAAAAAAAGACCGAATTAGGAAGAAAAATATACTTAGTAATTTGAAAGAAAAATAGTAAATGAAAGCTTGTATTTAATCTATTATTCTTATTTGTTTTTTCAAGTTTATTTTTATTTATTTCATTTTCATTTTAGATTTTTTTTAAAGAAAGTATAGTTTTAAAAAATTTTAAAAAGATATCAAATAATCAAGTTTTATGAAAAAATTTTGGATCATAAAAAACTAATATGAAATTAACAAAGTGTGGGACAATGGGGGTTGACTTTATGCAATTATTTTTTCTATCAAATCTTTTCTTCATTTCTATTTACAATTTTCAAACGCAACCTTTATACTTAATTTTTTTTTTCCATTTAAGATCTTCTACTTATGAATTTATTATAATTTGTATTATGAGTAAATTATTGAGTGTAACTTTCAAATATTTGAATGCATGCATACTTCAATTTTTAAAAGAAAATAAAAATGACATGTTAGATTAAGTTTTTATTATGAAATGTTCAATTTTAATTGTTAAATAAATAAAAATTAATTATTAAAAAATAAAGATTGAAATAATATCCAATAAATTATTGCAAATACATAATTATTTATACAATAAAATTTTAACCATTCAATTAAGGTTATTAAAATTTTAAAAATCTCACAACAAGGAAGCACAAGATGTATTCAAGTGGGAATGATTCCAATCTCTTTAACCTTAGTGTATAGTACAATATTTGGTTCAACTTCATTATACAGCTAAGTATATTGAAATGGTACACCCTTCCATGAATAATGTTAACCATTCCCATCACTGTTTTCATGGCTAGTTTCATGTTTGGCAGATCTAATTAATTTCACCTATAATGGCTAGTCTCACTTTTGGCAACTTGCTTTTTTACCAATTTGCTAGGCTTTTGATAGGCTTTCTCCATCGCTGATGTCCAAAAATCTTTATGAACCAATCATGTTTTCTCGTGACTGTGATCTGCCCTATGATCACTCCAATTGCCATTCCAAAGCCATACCCCATCAGCACTGCTCTCCAACCAAAATGGAAAAATGACACCAAGTCTTCATTTTCTTCCGAGCTGGTTGATGATGGAGGTGACGATGATGAGGTCTCAGAATCTTCACATTTTTTCGACAATGGGTTTCCACACAATCCCAAATTCCCATCAAATGAACTATTGTCAAACGTATTAAACTGTCCACCTTGTGGTATTGGCCCTGTCAGGTTGTTGTGGGATACGTTGAAGACTGCAAGGAAATTTAGCTGTTTTAGTTGCCAAGGGATTCTTCCCACCAATTTGTTCCGAGAAAGATCCAATGCTTCAAGGTTTGACAGTGATCCTATGGCTGGTGGGATTTGACCAACAAGAAGGTTATTGGAGAGGTTGAGCAGTTGAAGCCCATCTACATTCCCAATTGACTCTGGAATTTCTCCTTGGAATCTGTTAGATGAAAGATCAATAACAATAAACACTTCCGAGACTTGGGTAAACTTCATATTTACACCTTTGTTGGTCAATGTCAGCGAGTAATTATACACACTGCGGTATCTGTAATTGTACTCAACAGCAAACGCAATGCCAACGGAGTGCATATATGTCCAGGACTCCACATTGAGATTTCTCATTGCATTCCATGTTTTGAAGTACTTCGAAGGCAATAAACCAGTAAACTCATTGTTCGAGAGATCAATAATGTGCAACCCCGGAAACACAAAATCAGATTTTGGAGCCCCTATTGTACCATGAAATCCATTGGAACGTAAAATGAGAACTTTCAACTTCTGAAGAACCCCCAACCAAGATGGAAAAATGTCTTTGATTTGATTTTCTCCAAGATCAAGATACTGTAGCATTGTACACCGAGTTATTGACCTTGGAACTTGTCCATAGAACTTGTTATGACCCAAGTTGATGAACTGGAAATTTATTTCCACTTTCCCATGTGCTAGGGATTGGTCCGCAGAAGTTGTTGGCATACAAATTCAATATCGCCAAAGAATTGCTGAAGTTGGCCAAACATTGGGGGATCATGCCACTCAAGTTATTGTCAGACAGATCAAGAACTTGAAGAGAAGTAACGTTGCAAAAAAGTGGTGAGATTTCCCCTCCGAGTGAATTGTTGGAGACTAAATATACAGCTGTAGATAAGGGAGGAATTGGAAGTGAACCTTGGAGCATGTTGTTGCCAATGTCTATCCGCATTAGACTAGACCAAGGAAGAACTAATGGAGGCTCCTCAAAGCTGGTTAAAGAGTTATGTGAAAGGTTTATAAGCAACAAAGACTTCCTGCTCATTTCCCACAGCCACTTGGGTATTTGGCCATGAATGTGGTTGAAGGAAAGGTCAAGAATCTGAAGTCCTTCTTGGTTGCGGAGAAAGTCTGGAAAAATTGTTAGATTGCATGAAGCAAGTCTTAATTTGACAAGTTTTGGAAGAGAGGCGTTGGCACTAGTTTTTGACAGCACCGACAACTTATTATTGGATAAACTCAAAAACTCTAAATTCTGAAGCTGTAGAAATGTGTTTAGCTCCACTACACCACTCAAATTGTTTGAGTTCATGTCCAAATACTGAAGGTTCTTGAGTCTTGCAATTGAGCTCGGAAGTTCGCCTTGTAATTCATTGAATCCAAGGTCTATAAACCTTAGTTGGGTGAAGTTGGTGAGCCAAGTTGGGAAACAGCCAGTAAAAGAACTTTGAGCCAGGTCAAGCCTTTCCAGATGAATCAAATTTTCTAAAGAGGAAGGGATCTCAGAAGCATGAAATTGATTATTGCCAAGTGATAAAAATTCCAGGTTCGTGAAGTTGGACAAAAAGGAAGGTACATCACCTCTAAAAGAATTGTTTTCAACGCCTAAATGCGTGATTTTGGTGAGATTACCAAGTGAAGGAGGCAATAATCCTGTAAATTTGCAATGGCTAAGTGCCAAGAATTCCAATGAATGAAGATTCCCAATTGAGGCAGGTACTTCACCAGAAAAATTTGTCATCCAAATTGACAATACCTTAAGCTGACTGCTGAAGTAAAATTCTGGCAAATAACCAGTAAGATCATAATTTCTGGATACCTCAAGGAGCTGAAAGTTTGGTAGATTGAAAACATCTTCCGGAATTTTCCAAACAATTTACAATTGTGGCAACTAAGAGATGTTAATGATGTCAAATTTGCCAAGACACTAGGAATTGGAGAAGATACATCTACCAAAGAAAGATCAAGGTATGTTAACCTTGTTAAATTCTGTACTAAGCTCTTCATATCGGGCCTTTTAAGTTCCAACAATCCTTCAGAAGGATTAACACCAGAATTAAGGGACAGGTCAAGAGTAGATAACTTGGAAAGCTTTGAAATTGCAAATGGTATCTGACCAGAAAATGAAGAATAAGACAAGTTCAGATATGTTAACCTCGAAAGATTGCCCAAAGCTGATGGTATCTCGGAGTAACTAAAGTTATTGAATGCCAGGTTAAGCTTTTCAAGATGAACGAGACGAAACAGGCTGCTGCTGGAATTGATAGAGCCATGAAGGCAACTTTTACTGAGGTTAAGGCTTATCACATAGCCAGTATTGTGGTCACATTCGACGCCTTCCCAGGAGCAGCAATCAACCCCTTGAAACTTCCATTGATCAACCTTAGGGAAAACACAACGATCAGCAGAAGTATTAATTTTATCGATGATAAAGCTTTCCTTGAATTGCAACAAGGCAAGACGCTCATCTTCATGGCAGAGTGGCTGTGCTGATAGAAAGGAAAGAGTACTGAGTTGAAAATAGAGCAAGAAGTAAATCAGGTATTGGCCCATATCTGTCTGTTGTATTGGTAAATTTGCACTCTTTGAAAATATGTATCCAGATGAAGGCATATTATATATATTTGCACCAACACGTTGCTAAACATACTGCTAAAAGTCTGCATAGCAATGTAGCAAAGGATTGAACTCCACTTAATTTTCCTGCATTTTTAGGTTGCTTAATTACGGTCAACATTCAACATAGTTAAGTATTGTCTTGCTTTAATTATACTCTTTTTTATATGGTAACGTCATAAGTATCATACCTCTCTAGATAAAATTAAAGGCGCATTTCCACAACAATCATGTGCATTCAAGATTTTATTTTTAGAATGCATCTCACTAAAATTAAATTTTGATTGATGAGAAAAATGAATTTATTTCTTAAAAAATTAAAAAAAAAAAGAGAGTGAAGATTCAATCTTAAATTATCCTTTAAATTAGAAAAAGATAACAAACATTTTTCTTGACAGATTCATATAATATGTAAGAGTATAAACTAAAACATTTTATAGAGTTACAAAGATAATTATTTAATCATTAGCACCGTATAATAACATTCCTCCTAATAACATAAACTCCATTAATATGTAAAGTTTAACATAATAAAATAAGAAATCAAAAGATTTGGTTGAACTATTACCTGAAATATATATACCAAAATACTATGGTACAATTATTTTCTCCTCATTTTTCATATAGGAGATAATATATGCATACTCTCCATTAATTTTTCTTTCTACAACGTCAATAAGATAAGTCAAACTTAGATAACAATTTGTATCTTGTTCATGATCAATTTAAGGAGGTCACCATCTAGGGTCCCTTATTGTTTATTGAAAATTTTTTAGAACATACATGGGTTACTAATACATCTTATTCATAACTTCTTAGGCAATTCTACAATTGTCATTGCTCCTTTGAACACTTGATCATTTAAGGTTAGGCAAGAATTGACAAGATATTTAACCATATGTTTATGTAATAATGTCCCATTCTGACATGGCTTGATGATCCTATTGCTACTGAATTGATTCATTGCATTGAACATGATTTATCAAAGGCTATTGAATGCTTGGTCGGTGAAGGACGACAGAGACATGAAATAATTGGACCTATATATGTACACTTTTAAAGCTTTTTTTTATTGAACACATTTCAAGATGCATAATTGTAAGCAGTCGATTCAGAGTTAATACATCATTTCACCATTTCAATAAATAAACTATGCGTATTGGAAATAATTTTCCTCAAATTGTAAAACTAACAATTATCTAAAAATTCACTTTTTTTTCAGTTCATGATTTATAATTGGCCGCATCAAGTTAAATTAACGAGTAAAAAAATTTTAAAAAAATTAGAGTTATTATTTTTTTATAAAGAAGATAGTAACTTAAAGATAATAATAAAAAAATTATAATTATTAAAATTTAAACTCAAATTTATTAAATTTAATTTTTAAAAATGATTATATCAATCAATTATTTCAGGTTCAAATTAGAATTACGTTGATTTAGAAAGTAGATCAACATTTTCAAAGTTGTACAAAAAGCCTATTTCACCTATATATAATAGCTTAAGGCATCTTACATTTGACAAGGTTCATTGTGTTGCCACCTTTCTGTACCACCTTGATAGGCGATTGATGTATAGACCATCTCTATCGTTTCTTTTCGAAGGTCTTCATTAACCAATTAATCTTGTTTTCCTGTGATTTTGATGTGCCCTATCATCAATTAATCTAACTAGTAAGCCAAAGCCATAACCAATCACTACTACTCTCCAACCCAAATGGAAAAATGGAATCTCAATCTTCATCTTCATCCGCAGTTGATGATGAAGGTGATAAAATCTCAAATTCCGATCAAATGATCTATTGATAGGCCCTGCATGAAGGTTGCGAGAGATATTGAAGACTGCAAGGACATTATTGCTGCCATTATAATTGCAAAGAGACTCTGATTCTTCCCGCCAACTTGTTGCAGGAAAAATCAAATGCTTCAGGGTTTGCAGGGATCCAATTACTGGTGGGATTTGGCAAATGAGAAGCTGTTTATTGGAGAGATTGAGCAATATTTGAAGCCCTTTTAGATTCCAAACTGACAATGGAATTTCTCCTTGAAATCTATTACATGAAAGATCAAAACCTGTAAACAATTCTAAGACATGCACAAATTAAATCCATTATTATTCCTTCAATGGCTCCGCACTGAGACATCTGTTATATTGCATGAAGGAAAGATACACGAAGTCCTTAGTCCTTGGTTGCGTAGAAAGCCTGGAAATTCTGTTATACTGCATGAAGCTAATCGAAATTTCATACGCTTGGAGATGTTGGCATTTGCACTAGTTGTGGTTAGCTCTGGGCGGTACTGAATTATTGAATTGGATAAAGTAAAAAACGCTAATTGTTTGAGGCCATGTCCAAACACTGAAGGTTCTTGTGTCTTGAGATTGAACTTGGAAGTTGGCCTTGTAATTCATTGAATCCAAGGTCTCTACATATCTTACTTGGGTCAAGTTTGTCAGCCAAATTGGGAAACAACCAGTAACCAAACTTTAGCATGTCCAATCTCTTCAGATGAATCAATTTTGCTATAGAGGAAGGGATCTCTGGAGTAACAAAATTTATTGTGACCAAGTGATTAGAATTAGGTTGGTGAAATTAAATTTGACAAAAAAAGAAGGCATCTCACCTAGTGTAAACGAATCATTTTCAAGACCTGAATGAGACAGATGATTAAATTATTATTAAATTAATAATATTATTTTGATAACTCCTATGTTTTGTTGATCAAAATTATTAAATTTAAAATAATTATTTAGATTCAAATGAGCTGTAAATTTAATTTTGATCCAAAAATTAAAAAAATATAAGAGTTTTTTTTTTTTGTCTAGATTCTCTTATTATCCAGTAGTCACTTTTAAGTCTCGATTAATCTAAAATCAAATTGAATCAGATTTTATAAAGAGAGCAAGTTCTCTCAAACTTATTTTCTCAATTCACAAAATAAGAAATCGAAACCTTACTTAATGGAAAAATCGAACTGTTTACCACTTGGACCGATAAGCGACGGTAAAAATATAAGAGTTATACTAATATAAATGGATCCCTACTCTATAATAATTTATATATATAATTGAATGATGCCCCAAATGTCTTAATTAACATAATGTTATTATGTAACAATCTATGCTACTAATTTCTTGATGATTTTTTTAATAATAAAATTTTCTTACTTATCTTTAATTTTATATCATATTTTTTCCTAATTTTTCTTTCCTTCCTTTGGTTTGAATTTATTTGTTAGGTATAATTGTTGAAAATAGTATAATATTTGAATGGTTTATGCCTTGAATTTGTTTATAAAACATCATCTATCATTTACTTCTTTAAAAGTTGGAATTAAAGACTTTCCATTCATTTAAGTGCATTTCCAAAACCCAAGCTACCAGTAACACTCAAATAAGAGCATATATTTGATAGAATTGGCCAAAATTTTATACCAAAATATGATCAATACTTGCAACCTATACACTTTCCTCCTATAGCATGCTTCTATATCATGCATTTTCATTTGATTACCTTTTTGAATGTATACAAGCAATCAATTCATTTTTTCACCAGTTACAATAGTTATTTGTTGTTTGATTCATATTCTATGATTATATTTACATTTAATTTTCATTAAAATAATGTTTTTTAATAAGAGTCTAAAAATATATGTACAAGAAAATAAGAGTATGAACCCATTAACCAATGAAAATTAAACAATTTAATTAGTAATAAGTATTAATTTTTATTTACTTATTTAGCAACATGTGCATATAGCAAAATAGCATACTTGAAAAAAAAATATATTTTCATGTTTATAATGTGGCTTGACATTTGGATTATTAAAGATAAAAAAAATCTTTGCAGACCTTTTACAGTAGGTTGTCCAAAGAGTTCTTAAAGACTGTACATGATTTTTACAGGAGACTGTGGCATTAGGCACAAAGGATGAGAACATTATCAATTAAATTAATCAAAAATTAATTTAACTGATTTATATAATTATTTTTAAAAGATAATATCAATAAATTTAATGTTTAAAATTGTTTTATTCTAAAATTATAAATTATGAGTAAAAAAGTAAAAATCCAATACTACCCTTATAAAAGGGAATTTCCTCATAAAATAATAAAATAAAAAAGAAAATATAGAAAGCTTTTAAGAAATTGTCCTTGAATTACAAAAGTGAATTGAGTATCTAACAATTATTTCATTGAATCAATAACATAAAAAAAAAAAAAAGCTTAGTTTATTAACCCAACGAAATATAAATGTTATAAAAATAAAAATATTATGGTTCACATACACTTATGCCAAAAATTTTATAAACAAACAAATCTAATAAAGGCTTATACATATGGTCCGTTTCTTTAATAACCAAATTTAATAAATATTTTTATATCTTTTAGTAATTGCGTATCTAATCCTGTATCACCTATCAATAATTTAAAATATAATATAATAATACGACTTGAATATAAAGTGAAATAAAACATAAAAATAATTAAATTTAAAATTTTAATAATTATTATATATAAATTTAATAAAATAAAAAATATTTATTTTATATTTTTATATTAATACAAATTATAAAATATAATTTTTGTATAAATTTTAATATAAAAATATAAATTTTAATATTTTATAGGAATCTTTATATTTACCTATTATATATTCCTATTCTAGTATTGCTTATTAAAAAACAAAATCGGACACTTAAATCTTTAAACCCATCCACAAAGTAATTTTGGAAAGCACATGAAGTTTAATCTCATTCCAAAATACTAAACAAATGCTGCCAACTTGTGACTGTAAAATTCATTTTGGTACTACAAACAGCAAACGGGAAGATTTTTTTAAAGTACACTTTAGCATACTTCATTCTATTTTTTCTTTAACCCCAAAAATTTCTCTTTCTCTTCCTTTTCCCCTTTTTCTATCACTTTCTCTCCTTGGTTACTCTCTGTGGCAGAAGCGATAGCTTCCCCAGCTTAGTTAGAGACAAATGAAAGAAACGCATCTCTTTTTCACACTAATACTTCTTTTAGTTCCTTACACCCTTTGTTTCCACGCTCATGCTGCCCCTGCTGGTACCCTTTTCTTTTTCTTTTTTCTTTTTATGATCTTAGATTCTGTTCATCCTTTTGGTTAATGGGTATTTTTTAAATTTATATTTACTTCGTTATGCTTTATTTTGAATGCTACATTTCTTTTCTGTGCTTATTTTGCTTCATTTCTTGCTGTAAAGTTGTTAGCTTTTAGTATTCTTTTGTTCTACAATTTGCTCAAATGGGTTTTTTTTTTTTGTTAAACCTCTTATTGGGTTTTATTTATAGATTCTAATGCTTTGGTTAAATGTAATGCGATTTACTTAGGGCCATTGATAAAGCACTTGTCGTCTTTACTTAAATGGACCAGGTCTTCCACCAAAACCCCTCAATCAGGTAAAATTATTATTGTTTCTTATGTTTACTTCGTTGTCTAATGATTTTTTTAAAAAATATTTCGGTGGGTTTTCTTTTTAATTTTTACAGATGGCAATGTTCTTCAATTTGAGAATGGTTACTTAGTTGAGACTGTGGTTGAAGGCAATGAGATAGGAGTTGTTCCTTACAAAATTCGCGTTTCCGAGGATGGTGAATTATTTGCTGTTGATGAAGTTAATAGTAACATCGTTAAGATTACTCCACCATTGTCCCAATGTATGTGTTCAATGTTACTGAATTTGAGAATTATAACTGTTTTTTTATCTGTGGTTTTCTTAAGCCTTTTATTTAGTTAGATGTCGAATGGGAAACATCTTATGCTATAGGATTGTTGGCATTGTTTTGTTTTTTTTTTCGTTTATTAATTTGGTGACATATATACACCTTGTCTCGTTTTGCGATTGCTTATTATTGCAGATAGTCGGGGAAGATTGGTTGCTGGGTCATTTCAGGGTTACACTGGGCATGTGGATGGAAAGCCAAGTGATGCTCGTTTCAATCATCCCAAAGGTGTAACCATGGATGATAAAGGGAATGTATATGTTGCTGATACCATGAATCTTGCTGTCAGGAAGATAGGAGATGCAGGTATATGCAGATAATGATAAAGAATATATTTAAATAAAAAAATAAACTTGATTATTAGGTTGAATTGTCTTTGTAAAGTTTGTTAATTCATAAATATCTTATCCATCTGTGCAGAAGTTGTTGACTCTGGGATTATTTGCAGGTGTCACCACTATTGCTGGAGGGAAATCAAATGTTGCAGGATATAGGGATGGGCCCAGTGAGGATGCAAAGTTCTCAAATGATTTTGATGTGGTATATGTTCGACCCACCTGTTCGTTGTTAGTAATTGATAGAGGAAATGCTGCTCTTCGACAAATCTCCCTAAATCAAGACGATTGTGATTATCAGTATAATTCAGTTTCTCCCACAGGTTGTACTTCTATTTATATGCTTTTGCAATGATTTCCAAAATGGAACATCATTATAACAACATGCCTGGTGTGGAAAAAGAATTGGATTCCGATGCATGTATCATATGCATCACAACATGCATAGCCTTTTTTTCCACCTTGAATACTTTTTGTTGCATTGTTAATTTCTGGAACATTGCTGAGTGCACCCCCCCCCCCTTCCGGCACCTTCTTTTTTTTTTTTTATGTAATTTTTTCTCCTAAAATGCTAATGGGAACAGTCACTCAGATTATTTCAGAAATTATAATAAGCCTACCTCTGAGAATAAAAGAATCAAACCCTCCAAGAAGATTTCTAGCAAAACTTCAAAGTTGTCAAAACAGGGAATAAGTCTTGCCCCTACAATATGAATATGATTGCCCATAATCCAGGCTGTTGACAGTCTTGTTACTTAGGTAACCTAAGGTGCTAGGTGCGACAGTTGAAGTAAATGGTAACTACCTTATTAATGGTTGCGAGGACAGGCCTTTAGATGTCAGCCTTTTGATTGTCACATAGAAGTTTTCATGATTTTAAATCTCACTTTATTTATTTAGAATCGTGGGTTCTTCGGGATCATTTGAAGTGTTTTAAACAAGTGGTTATCTTGTTAATTTTAACAGAACAATTGTGCATTTTATGTCAAATTACTTACTGACTTTTACACAATGGCCTTTTAGCAGATATCCTGATGGTTCTTGGTGCAGTCTTGGCTGGATATGCTACATGCTTGCTTCAGCAGGGATTTGGACCTTCTTTCTTCCCAAGAATGGTATGACTCTTCCTTTTTGTTTCAACCATGTAATGTAAAAAGTTTAAATGCTGACAATTATAACAACCTTGACAATCCTACCAGTTTTATTTATTTTTCAGCCTTTTCTGCAAGCAAATACGGTCTCATGAACTATGAGTTTCTCTCTTTCATCAAGCTTTCATAAGAATACAATTTTGTCACCCTTACTGCCAAATATATTCCATATCTATTTCTCATACATGTACCAATAAGCTCTGCTGCCATTTTAGCTGTGGTGTCAAGTTGATTTGTAGGTAGTGTGTTAACAAGCACTGAGTTTGCCTTATTGCTATTTCTATCCCACTGTTATTGTTGTTGATTTTCTTTTTACTGGTCTGTGGAGGTCAAAGCATCGTCAGCCTTGTACCCCAAAATAATTTTCTTTTCATGGTTTTTGAAATTATTTTCATGCATTTTTTCTCCATTTATGTGAAGCATAAACTGTTGATGCAGCAACCGTCAGAGAGTGAATACAAAGAACAAGCAAGCAAGGAGAAGTCCACTCCTCTTGTAGAAAGCATGAAAGAGGAACCTGGATGGCCATCTTTTGGCCAACTTATCAAGGATCTGTTCAAGCTTGCACTTGAAGCAATGGCCAGCATGTTCTTATATTTTGTCCCCTCCCGTTTCCGATCAAATGGCTCCAAGAAATGTCTTACACCAATGAAGGATTCCCTTAGGATGCCTGAAGATGAAGCCCCGCCTCCATTAGTTCAAAGGCAGACCACTCCAGCTCCCATTTCTGAGACAGGGCAGACACATACAACTAATACAAGTGATAATTATTCAGAAATGAAGCCTCCAAAGATAAAATCAAGCAGCTTTAGGGATCCTTTGTCTAGTAAGCATCGTTCCTCCAAACGACCAGAATATGCAGAATTCTATGGGCCAGGTGAGGTTCCTCCTTACAGCAGGTCTAAAACTCAGAAGGAAAGAACAAGACATCGTCAACGCGATAAAACAGGAGAGGTGGTTTTTGGAACTGGTGGGGCAGATCAAAAATCTGTTGAGTCCAAGCCAGTGGATTATGACAACTCAAAGTTTGACCATTACAATATGAGGAGCAAGTATGGATCCAGTGATTCATTCCGTTTCTGAAGTAATTGCAGCTACTGATTTTAGGCTCGTCCAGTTACTGATTTTCACCCTACTTTCTATGTCTACATTCTCCATCCTGAATATGTATCACCATATTTCTCTTTAAGCCTAGTCTATAATTGAATTCTGTATTGGCAGGAATTTGTACCTTTGAGATCTACGCAGATCTACGCAGATGAGAATTGCAACTTAGTACCAGTTGTTTCTTGGCCGGCTGCTGTAACACATGTAAGGTTCTATATTACCTGCATATAACCGATTAGTATGAAATCTTGTGTCGAGCTGCTATCCCTTTTGGAAGGAAACTGATCTGTTGTTAAAAACATAGTGGTTAAGAAACTCATCATGCAGAGAATTAGACTTTGTGTAAACTTAAATCTTGTCAATGCAGAAGACTCTGTAGAACCAAAATGTCAATGTAGTTGCCAAGAAGCAGTTTATTCTTAAAGTGCATTTCCAATAATTTTAAGGCAAGCAGAATCAAACCCTTATGGGGTGAATGAGTTTTTATGACTCTTTAGGCTCTTTGAGCACAAGTGGGTGCAGTGGAATCAACTTTACCGCTCCATTATGAAGGATTTAAAACAAGAACAGCCTTCACCATATAAACCTCATTGTGGTTTAGTAGGATTCAAAGCTCATTAATATTCACATTTGAGAAAGAGGGTTCCCTCAATATTAAATTAAATTTTACATAGGTTAATTATCAATTAAACTTTTGAAAATAATTCTTAACCAATAATACTTATTTTTTATGAAATTACATTTGGGGATCAAAATTAAATTATAAATTTTTAACAAATATGGCATTTTTTTTATATAAAAAAAGTTGTCGTTTGACCTTAAAAAAAATTATAGATATTGAAATTTAATCTTTGAATATACTTAATAATATCTTTTTAGGGTAATTATATCAATAAACTAAGTTGAGCCCTATATTTGAATCAATTAATGAAAAAAATTAATGCAAAATAGGGATCTGATATATATGAAAGTCAAATTTGTATTTATTGATAAAAAAATTAAATTTTAGGTTTTTACATAATCTAATCACGAATTTAATGATTGCATATATTAATCATGGAATAAAAAATCCAATCCACATATAGTTGAGGATACATAATTAATACCGAAAAAAGGAATAATTAAATCTATAGTTTGAAATATAAATTTCATACTGAAAAATGAGCTTCATAATCATAATGGAAAGAGCATCACACTTCCAACACCAAGAGGTTTGCCCAAAGCCGCCAATAGTGGGCCCAATTATGTTCAACAAAATCAATTGGAATTCTTTAATTTGAGTATGAAAACAAATTCTCGTTTTATAAATTTAAATTTAAACATTAGATTTCCAATTTTGAAGATTCAAACATTTGGGACTCTTAACTCTTAAGGAGAGGAGAAGGACTTAATTGTGAAACATTGAACTTAAGGGATTGAATTGTAAATTTTCTAAAGTATAGGATAAAATTATTGGAAGATCAATTAAATAGAAAAAAAAGTGTGGAACAAGGAACATGACAGCCAACCACCACTGTCAGTCGATTCACGATTTTTATCTTTTTATCATTACATTATTATTTAACCAATCATCATCAAATCGTCATTTCTTTTTCCTTTAAAAATTTGATTCGAATCATCGGAAACACTTCTTCTCCCTTTCTCTCTTCTTCTAAGAAGCTTTGACTTGAATTTCAATGAAGAAGAATTTGCTCTGAAAATAATCGAAAAAGTTTTAACTTTTTTTTTGGGGTTTTGAAAATTTTGAGCTTTTGGGGTTTAGAAGAAAAGAAGAATGGGCTGCGCTGGATCGATGCCGGCCAAAGGAGACGGTAAGGCTTTTCTCTTTGTTCCTTTTTTTCTGTTTCTGAAATTTCTGTTTGGTTACTGAGAAAATTTCTAGCTTGCTTAAAGAACAATGATTTCATATTTGAATTGTTTTAGCTTAAGAATATTTTGAACTGCTAGAAGGATGCCACTTGAATTTCATTTGTTATCATATTTGTTTCATTTTTTTTTTTATTGCGTTAAATATTAGAGATTATCAGCATTATTCGATGTTCAATTCTGTGATTATTATTGTTCTTTTTTGACAAATTGTCAAAAACAAAAAAAAAAAAGGTCTTTTTTTTCTAAAATTTATTAATATATATGTATAACAGAATAAATTTGCTGATTTATTTATAAAAAAAATAAATAAATCGTATGGTTATAGACAAAAAAAAGGGGGGGGGTGGAAATGGGTGGTCAGTTGAAAAGGATTTGCTAAATCTAGGGTGACGATTTGAATGTTTAATCATTAACTTGCAATTTGTACTCATCTGCTTTTGAAAATTTTGGAATGTTTTCTTGATTTAACTTTTCAATGAAGACAAAATGGCGTTCTATGATTTTTACTATATTATTTGGCTATTGTTTTGAAACATATTTGAAAGTTTGGAGATAAATGGTTAAACTATATATATATATATATATAAAGGACTAATCCGTCAGCTGCATGAAATCGGCAATAAATTCATTCATATAATAGGTATATTTGTGGATCAATTTAGCACAATTCATCTGGGACACTTTTATTATAATCCCATGTTGTTTGAGCTCCAAGGATGATATCTTCAAAAGAGTAGTATTTGAGTCTTTTGGGTTGTTAGTTTCTTCTCACCATGTGGCAACTAACTCTTCGTAAAAATGCAGTATGAACTCATGCTTTTAGATTCGCGTTGGAAGTTTATATCTACTAAATAATACTTTGAACATTTTGGCTCCAGGGAATGTGAAAAATATCCGGAAGCCGAAACCCTGGAAACATCCTCAGCAGATAACAAAGTCTCAACTTGTGCAGATGCGTGAAGAGTTTTGGGACACTGCTCCTCATTATGGTGGCAGGAAAGGTAGTTATCTTTAACTTATATCCACTAATGACTGTTAGGTTAACATACATAGGATTACGTATATCTTTGCATGTAGATATTCCTAATTCTGCTAGTGAGAAGAAAATTTGTTGATCTTGAGTTGGTCAAATATAGAAGCTTTTCTTTTCTGTTTGAGTTAGGACAAGCTCAGAAAATGCTGAAAAACTGAGTGGATAATCTGATGAAGGCAACAAACTTACCAATATGCGAGTTAGTTATGTGGTGAATCCTTATTTGTGGAAAACTTAATTATACAGAATCGATCTATTTCAACTTGAGTTGGTTCTGAAGCTAGGCAAAGAACAATACATATGAAATATTGTACTTGGATACAAAGATTCATGCAATAAGGCATTTTCTTGCTCATCCTTTAAGTCCACATCCCCAGGGCAATATGACATTAAGGTCTTGGATAATGTGTAATATTACTTAAGCATGCATAGGAATCAACTGAAACTGATAAGTGTAAACTATACAGCCCAACTCTTTCACTGATCAGATTAATTTCAAGTTTTATAGCCCAAAAAGAAAAGAAAATAAAAACTGACACAAAGACATGAATGTTTAGCTGGCTTTAGGTTCCCCTTGGCAATCTACTTGTGAATGTTAAGAACTAAGGACAGGAGGCTTTAGGTTTAATTTCTTTACGATGTGAAAATTACATCAGCCTTGAAACACGTCAACGGTCATTAAAAACGTGAATTCTCAGATGGTTTAACTGCACATTATAGATAACTTAGATTTAGTGTTTTGATTGACCAAGTAAAGTTACTAATGGGAACTAAAGGTTTCATTTGAAGGTTCTCCGTAGATGTGATCATCAAATTAAACATTGATATTTAGGAGTTTTAGATAACTGTATTAAATCCTTCTTAATACGAAGACCGGGGAAGTTGTACTGAGTGAAAGATGATCACAGTTTTATGAAAGGTTTTAGGATAACAGCCTTTTTAACTGCACTTGTTTTAATTAAAATTAGATGTTACTGAAAGCCTTAAATGATTTTTGCAAATGACAAGATTTAGCATACAAGCTCTCAACACTCCATGTTGGTAGTTGGCATTCTGATATATGACTGCTGATCGGTATATGGTTGTTGGATGGATGTAGAACCAAGGGAGGAAAAGAGAGAAACAGAAATTACATGACAATCAGAGGAAGAAGAAACAGAGGAACTTAGGGGTGAATTAGAAGAATTGGGGGAAGAAAAAGAGACAACCAAGGGGAAGACCTCAATTCTCAATTCTCAGTAATTTGAAGCTGAACGCCAATAACCAACCAAAGTATATATAACGCATCCAACTTCAACATAAATCCAAAGTTCCAAATATATCACAGTTAATTGAAATCTAATAAACTCCAAGGTGGTTCTCTAACAAAGATTCTGTGGAAGATTATATTTCTGACTTGAGGTGGTGTATGAAACCATTTTTCGTTTACAATATAGAAACAAACATGATGGGCTATAAATCTTTAATTTCTAGTCTCAACAAGAAATCTGGTTATTTTGCTTAAATGCAATCAAGTTTTACTGTAGAATGAACATTATCAGTAAATGATTCAAAATATTTCAACAGGTAATTTTCTTGACCTTCTACTTCCAATATAACCTTTTTTTTTACCCTGCATGAATGTTAATAATTTGGTTTTTTTTTTTTTCACATGGATCTGAAATGTAATGTCAACTTCCTGGACACCAGAGATCTGGGATGCACTTCGAGCTGCTGCTGAAGCTGATCTAACCCTTGCTCAAGCTATCGTGGACAGTGCAGGGGTCATAGTGCAAAATGCTGATTTAACTATCTGCTATGACGAAAGGGGTAAACAAACCTTGCCGCATCAAATTTTGATATCTATTTGGGCCTCCTTTCTATACCACTAAGATTCAACCTACCTGAAAACAATTAACTGAGAAAATGAGGCTTTCTGAGGCTTGAAATTTCTTCTAACACACCTTCCACCAACTCTTCTTTGCAGGTGCCAAGTATGAACTACCAAAGTATGTTTTGAGTGAGCCAACTAACTTGATCCAAGATAGTTGAAAATAGAGAGAATATTGAGAACGATGTGTGCAAGGTTGAATGTATATCATGTATATTACTCTCTCATCTTCTTTGAAACCCTTTATAGCCTCTTTTGTGCCTTTTTAACTTTTGATTACTTTCGACGTTCGCTAGGTTGCTGTAAGTTTCTCTGATGAAATGATCAAGGGCATAAACATTGGTTTGAATTGAGTAAGATGTCTCAGTTTTTCTGTGGGCTTGCATAGGCAAATGTTGTTTGTCGGGAGATAGATGTTTGACCCTTGTCTCAACTTGAAGATTCTATATATAATATTTTCATATAATATTTTCAATGACGAGATTTTACCTAAACAAAATGAATTTGATTCTGATTACCAAAGTAAAACTAAAATATCTGAGTTAAATCAAGAGAGTATGCTATGGCATAATATTCCATTTAGAGCATCGCCAAGTCTTTGTACACGTTTCAGATTATGGTATTCTTCCTTTTCTGTCCCTTGCTTTGTCTGTTCCACAAAGTTCAGTCCTGAAACGACATACACAATGGGGATTATGGTATTCTTCTTTTTCTAATCCTTGCTGTCTCTTTTCCACAAGGTTTAGTCCTGAAATGGCACACACAATTGGGTGGAGGGACTGTTAGATTCTCTTCTCACCGGCCATCCGAAACCCAAGGACTAATTTAATAATATTGTTGCGTTTGAGAAAAATTTAAGTTGAAAAAAATGTTTTAAAAATTTTAATTTTTTAGTATTGCTGTGAAAAATATTAAAAATAATTAAAATATCTAAAATAATAAAATACTATAAATATAAAGTAATATAATAATTTTCTATTAAAAAAATACTGTTTTCTCTTGAGTAGTTTTTTTGTTGTTTAGATTGTATCTACACAAAAAATATTTAAAAATCAAACATCTTCAGACCGTAGACTATATGATTCTCTGCCAAGAGTGAGGAACAGTAGGTAAACATCTCTGATCTTCTGGCTCATTAACTTAAGCTTTTTTTTTTTTTTTTATTGTCTGAAGTTTAATTTTGTTCTATGAAAAAATAAATAAATAAAAAGAAGAGATGATGCAAATTGAGAAATATTTCATGATAATCCATTATAATATGCATGAATATCCGTTGGTGTCTTTTAAAGCAACCTTTCATTACCACAAAGCTCATACAAAAAAGAAAGAAAAAAAGCAAAGGCGCTTGACATCATCAAATCTGATCAAACCCTTTTGAAGAAAGATAGAATGTTGCCTTGCTTAGGATCCTTTGCATTTCCAGTTTTCTTGTTTCCGGCTTTGCCTCCTGGATTAGATGGTGCAGTGCTTCCAACTGCAGGAGACTTCTTGGCTGCAGCAGGCCTGCTGCATCAACAATTCAAACGGTTAGGTCACAGCGATGCCCTGGCTATTAATGTTCCACTAAAATTGCAGAATGAAATAAAAGATATAGAGAATAGGAACAAATACTGGCCTCATCGAAGGCAAGCAATCTCATTGACATCATAGCTTAGAAGCCTATCAATCTTTAAATTGCTTGAACTAGAAAAATGCAAACAAGATGCAACACAAGCACCGAAAATATATTTATGCATGGCAGTAAGGAGCTACATACAACCCCCTCCCCCACTTTCTCCCGCTGTTTTCTTCCCTCCTTACTTGTAGGATACACAATTCAGTAGGACCACAATCCAGTTCAAGATTTGTGTTAACTATGAACTATCCTTGAAAGTTAGAAGTGCAATACAAATCCCCCTTAGCCATAATGTCCTCTTTGTTATTCTGGTGAAGATTGTTAACCCCTCATACCCCTCATAGGACCAAGCATTTAGCAAATAACTCTGCTTTAGTTTTTTTTATTCCCAGCTTGGTAGTAGACCTGTCCATCGGTTGAGTAGGCTTGGCCTGACTCGGGTCGAGCCTTGGACATGATTTTCAAGTCCGAATCCAACCAAATATCATTAAATTAATAAAAATGAATTTTTTAAAAAATTTTAATTATAAAATATATTTAAAATATTAAAATAATAATTTACTACTTTTAAAATATTTTATTTTTTTAATTTTCAAGCCTCTTGGACCTGACTGGCTGCTCTAGGCCTTGGGCAGATTTTCAAAGGCCAACTGAGCCTGATCCAACCCATGGCTACCTCTACCTAGCAGGAGGAAAGAGGGAGAAGAAACAAGGAAAAAAAGGAGAGATTATATTGGTTATCCAAAGTGAGAATCCAGAAAAAATTTTTCATATTTGGGATGGTGAGTTTCAAATAACTAGGATGCCAACTGAATTTAGATAAGACTAAAAGCAGTATTTACTACTAATAATATGATAAATGGGGCACAGTATACAAGAACAAAGGGGGCATTTTTCTCTCATTCAGGGAGATTTTATAACAATTTTTTACTTTAATTTTTTCTTCATCCTTACCCCTCCCCTTTTTTCTGTTGGAATGCAGCAGCAGATGATTAATTACCCTCGAATCACTGCTGCCAGACCTAGGAACCAATACAACTAAACAGGATGTTTATTAGCATGCAAACACAAATAAAACCAAACAGCTGGCCATTTTTCAGACAAGCAAGTGTTTTATCAGACATGATAAGCATTGTGAGGCCAAAAAAGAGAAAACTTACTTCCACTAAAAGGCAAAGTGAGAACTAGCAAAAATACATTGAAGAGAAAATAACTTTACCTGTTATTAGTATTTGAGACAATATTGGCGTCAGCATCGGTTGTTCCACTTCCAACTTTCTCTGGCATGTCACTTTCAACTTTCTTCACCTCTGTCTCCTCGCCTTCCCAAACTACCTCAGTTACTAATACCAACATAAACGGGAAAAAGAATTTTTAAAATGAGATAATATTCTGCCGAATGTAGCACTACTAATACTGTCTGCTCCAATTTAGTGCCTTTAAGGGGAGAAAAAGGGGATATGTAGGCACAAACACCAATATCCACATCTCCCATAGAAAGCAAGACGTACAAAACTATTCACAAAAACTTTTCCAGTAGTCAAGTTTTAATTTGGCATATCCATGAGAAAAATTAATTGCATTAGCAAAACGTAGAAACTGATGAAATTTCAGAAGAGTATACCTTTGGCATGAAGGAATGAAGCATGATGACAGATAAGATAAACTAAATAAATAAAAGTCAAGATTAAACATCGTTTTCAGTATTTCAAATCCCAATTAACCTAAGAAAGAGCAAGTGATGAAATTATCTAAATTGGATGATGCACTGACAAAGAAAAAAATAGCACTCTTGGAGAGAGGCTCGGGTTTGGATTTACCTTCTCTCCCACGGTCATCAATTCGTGTCTTCAACACTTTTCTCCTTTTAGGTGAATTTGCTGCAGCATCTGGCAGTTTATCATTCTTACTTAGATCAGTTTCAGGAAGATGGCCTTCAAGCTTAACTAAAGAGCAATGTCTACCATTTGTACTTTTACTGACAAGTGAATTTTCTTCCCCGAGTGATCTGCTGGGTTCTCTATTAGTAGTTTTCTCTTCCTTAACCTTTAATTCTTCTTTGTTTGGTTTCTCTACAATCAAACTGGGCTTCTCCGGAATCAAAGTTTTAGAATTTTGTTCAGAATCTAGAGATGATTTCCTTTTAGGGGGATCAGGTGAAGATAGATTGACAGCATCTTCATACTCATCTTCATCTGAGAAATCAAAAACTACCCTCCGTTGTTTCCTATTGCCTTCACCATTAGAGACTCTCCTAAAATTAACTTCTTGAACATCAACGTCACTGTTCTCATCCTCTACTGCTTCACGAGCACAAATTTGTGCATCTGCACTAACTAATAATTTAAAAAGAAATTAAAGAAATAAGAAAACGAGTCAGCTAAGAATATAAAATCGTGTTTTAGGAAAGAAAAAAATTAAATATTAGCACCACCCAAGCAATGCAAGTCCTAAGTTATTGAATATAAGTTTCGTTTAAAATTTATAGAATGCACATAAAAAGTATATACCAAGGAAACTCTAGTAATAAATCAAATGGAAACAAACCATTGGGATTTTGTACAGAATCGCTATCATTTGCTGGAACACCACCGGGCTTTGGTTTTGTAGATGCACGACCCCATAAATTTGCTAATGAACCTCCACCTCCAGTGGAGCTTTTATCATTCTGGCCTTTCATTTTATTAGAAGGCAAGGAAGGAATTTTTTCTTTTTCGGCAGAAGGCTTCCTGACCAGATCATGAACTCCTCTGCCAATACTGTCACTTTTGACATCTTTTACCACACTAGAAGGCTGCTGAGCAACTTTTAAGCTTGATTGCTGAGCTTTATTTTGTTGAGATAGCAAAGCTGCATTGCTTTGAGCAGAATTATGTTTTGATGGTCCTGAGATTCCCACACTATTTGGCTGCGCAGCTGCAACCCTTGCAGGCGTTCCATCGACATTGCGCTTGATGAATGAAGTTGAAATCCCACAGAACCTGGTGAAAACATTAAGGACAAGAGATAAACATCACATCTAGAGTTTTCTAAATGTTTGTCTGATTAAGGAACTGGCAAGCAAAATTCCACCAAGAGTTTATGAGTAATTTTTTTTTGGCCAATAGTTTATGAGTAAATGACATGACTTGTATCTCTTAAACTCACCTAATCACTCCCATCACGCCCCCCCCCCCCCCAAAAAAAAAAAAAAGGCCATTGTTTTTGTTTCTTACTAAAACCCTTGTTTGAATTGCTATTCCAAAAAAAAAACTGGAAAGAAACAGGCTACTTAAAGCTCCTTTATTAAATATATAGATAAGTAACTAAACATCTCAACAGTAACTACAGGGATCAGCAAAAATAAATTAACATGAAGGAAGCACCAATGCAACATAAAATCCATTTCACTGCCTGAGCTGCAATGATCACTTAACAGAATTAGGATACCTGTTATCTCTCAAGCAATTATCTACTATGGTGGGCTGCTTGAAGAGCTCTTCAGCTTGTATAAATTCAGTATTCCAAAGTGCAGCTGGGTCATTTGGGATGCAACCTTGCACACTATACACATGAACTCCGCAATTGCTGTCATATTTTTGCTTGGCTTCTGCAGGGAATTCAGGAAAAGAGAATTACCATTAATCCCTTTTACCTAATATTGTTAGCCAAACAACATAACTATAATTATGGGTGAAAAGGAAATACAGCTAGAGGATTAATAATATACCCAAAACCACCTAACACATCTTAAAATGGTGATGTACTCCACTTTATTGAGTCTATGCACATGGAGATGTCATTTGGTTGATATAAGATAACTTCCTAAGTAAAAGGAAACTGATATGAAGGAAGCTTTACCAGCAATACTGAGAATGAGGAAGTCAAAATAAATATAAAACTTAAAAGGCAATTTATCTCATTCATTGTATATAATTGCACTTAAAATTCCATTGTACAGTTTTAAAATGCCACTTCATGAGTATTAATTATGAAAAGGGAAATTAGGTCAGTTAGTCAACTGGATAAAGATTTATCATAATATAACTATTATTTTAGGGGGAAAAAAAGAGAAAGAAGAGGAAAGTTGGCATGATAGGAGAATAATATGAAGAAGAAGGTATATTACAAATAGCGTTGTGGCTAGAATGGAGATCCACAGTTGAATGAACTGCTATCTACTTTGACTACAACTATCCTATCATACATTAGTCATCTATTCCAAGAATAGTCCTGCCACTTGTACACAAGCACAGATGTAAATCTGTACAGACCCTTAACTGCATACATATTAGAAAAAGTGGAACCAGATGAAATTGTCACAGAAAGTCTAACCTGAAAGTTTAGGTCCTGTCACGAGCTGAATATGATAGTTTGATGGAGAGTCCTTCAACCAGCCAGACAAACTATAAACAACTTCTAACTCACTTCCATGTTTCTCAACAAACTCGGCAAGCAATCTAATTATAAGTACAACTATTGGTAAGTTGGCATACATTATCCTTGTATGAATCTTGAAATATACATGGCCATATGTGTGCACACAAACTTTAACTACATTCTTGGTGGGGAAAATTTACCTCTTCGCTACGTTGGATGAGACCAAGAAATTACGACTTAGCCACTTGTAGGAAACCTGAAAAGAAATTCATTTTGAACCAAAAGAAAAAGAACTTTACATGAAGTCCCATTTTTAAACGAAATTTCTAGCCTATAAAAAAAGTAATTTTCACTTTCCCATTCACTCCAAAACAATTTTCTTTTAGTATATGAATCAGGAAGGTAATACAAGGAGAGGCGAATTATCATCCAAATCCTACATTTTAATCAAAATATCCATTCAACCTACAACGAAGAATCATTTCTACCAAAAAACTTTATACTATATAATTCCAGCATGGAACAGACTTACTATCTTACAAAATTGTAAACTTCGTTTTCAAGAGAGAACACGCAAAAAAGCACTCTAAAATAATTGTAAATTCCGTTGATTTCACTTTCAAAACTTACCATCTTTTAATTTCCAAATCCTAACATATAAAAACACACAAAATAAAAACATGAAGAAGGGAAAGAGAAAAAATTTTCCTGCTAGTTAACCGAGTAATAAAAAAGAGGCTCCATTCCCAGAAATAAATTTATCAATAGAATCAGTAAAAAGCAAGAAATTTGGGGAAAACCCATGAATTTAAGACCAAGAAAGGGAAAGAAACAAAAGAAAAATTTGCAAAAGAAAAAGGAGAAAATTTAACAAACCCAGGGGAAAAAATCGAAGAATTAAGTCAATATGAACGTAAATTCAAATAATAACATAAATAGAACTTACTACTTGAAGTTTATCGGAGACGAGAGCTTGGATCTCTTCAAGAATACCTAGGGTTTCAATTTGGGACATCTTTTTGTTCTTAGGAGGGTTTTGAAGTCAGAATTGGGAGATTTTCACTCTATTAAGGGCGCTGATTTTCCCGCCATTCCTTGCGTACTGGGGGAATTTATAGAGGGATAGGAATGGTTCTTGTTCGCACGTGACCATTCGGGTTTGCACGTGACTTTATAAGAACAAACTGGATCCAATTGGTGCATGACTTTGGGAGGTTGGGCTAAGTTTGAAAATGAAATGTTCGTGGGGCTTAGGCTGTTTGATCCAGTTGGATCCACTTGATTGGTTAATGGAACTTTTTGGACTCAACATAGAGTTCTTTGTATTTTTTTGAAAATAAATATTACTTCATTATGTATACTAACCACTTAATCATAGAGAAAATATCAAATAACATTAGCAATATAGTTCTTTAATTTTATAAGGGGAGTTAACAAGATGATATATGTTCTTTAAGGTATATTTAAAAAATAAAAAAATTAATAAAAAAATAAAATATATGTCATTATATTAATCTCACCTATGAAATTAAAAAGATTTACTGATAATATATCGAATAATTTCTTATTAAATAAATGTGTAGACAACAGTTGTTTATTTAATATGTATCAAAGTTTGGACACTTTGTTCTGTAATGAAAGAGAAAAAAAAACTAATAAAATTACTTTACTTATAAGATTTAAGATTCATTTGAATAAGTGATAAGATTGATTTCGATTAAATTAAAAGTAGTAATGAAAGTAAAATTGATTATTATAATGTAAAATTGAGTACTTAATGATAAAATTAAAATTATTGTTGGGATATGTACTTAAATGAAAGGGTAAAAATGAGATAAGATTAAGTATTATGAAATGATAAAATGATCATTAAAAATATAAATTAAAATTTATATGTTACAAAAACTTTAAATTATTTAATATTTATAAAATTAATAAATAATTAAATTTATTAAATTATTTTTATATCAAATAATAAGTAATGAAAGATTTAACAAGAACAAATAATTTAAAATATTTAAGTAAAAACTAAAAATAAATTAACAAATAAAAAGCCAACAATATAAATTTATTTATCACTTAACTAATTAATAATTAGAAAGGTAACAAAATAAAATAAAAAAAAAAAGAGAAGAAGAGGCAAAAATAGAACAAAATAACGGTGGGAGAACGCAAAAATTCCATTCGACCCTCCAATGGCGTTTAAAAGTTTAACCAAAATTTTAGCTTTAATGGCGTTTAAAAGTTGTGGAGAATGACATCTAAATAGATGTCCAGCGGACTTTTAGGTAATACATCACCATGACTTCAATAAACTCTAAATGAGGTCTAAATTTGATTCTTGTTGTCAATTAATTTTTAATGAGTGATGTAAATCTAATATAAATTTTTATTAAACTTACCATATACTCTAGTCATTAAAATCTCCCTTCACCTAAATTTTTTTAGCCAAAAAAATAAAGAGAAAATAATTTTAAAAATTTTCAAATCATGTTTTACAGCACTAGAAAAGTTGCGTAATAAAAAGTAATTTTTTTTCAATAATCAATGCATGCGAACCATAAAAGAATTATATATATATATTATGATTTCTATTTTTTTTTTATTTTTTTCATTGACTTGATTTAATGTCACTTAGTTCGTAATACTAATCCTAATCAAGTGCATTATATAATACAAATAATATTTTAAATTATTGTGGTTAAGTGTTGAACCCCCATAATAATAGTAGTAAGAAATTTGGATTTTAATTCTCGTTCTCAAACTTTTTAAATAAGAATCTGAGCTAATAATGAGTAAGCATTGCTCTCGCATTTTTATTTACCAATACAGCTTCATGTCTGACAAAAGATTTATTTCTTGGGTAGCAAGTATCCAGACCACAGCTTACATGATGACAACATTCAGACTCAGAACTCGTACAAATCAGTGAAAACATTTACAATAACAACAATATATATATTTCCAACAACATAGCTTCAACTTCTGATAACAATGGCTATGTACGCGCACAAACCTTTCAAATTCGGGTTTGAAGCTGTGTAAAGATGTAGACCTCATCGAATCCCTTACTGCATTTGATACAAGAAACATATCGATGGGCTTAATTACATTCGAATATGAATGGTTAATAGTCTCAAAAGGATGGTATCAGCTTACCCAGCCTTCCCACAATAGGTGGGACTGTAATTATAAATAAGGTTGTCAAGCACTTTTCGTGCAGGTGGCCGGTTTGTCGACTTCCTTGCCTCACTGCAACAGAAAAATGAAAATGAACTCAATTGGGAACAGATAAAGGCGACAGATAGTGGAGCCCTCTGGTGTGTCATAAATTCAATTTTCTGTTCACCGAGTTGGAACAATGTAGAGAACAAACCATTAATAACTTTTTTAACACTGCTAACCTGATTAAAAAGTTTGCGACATGCTGTGTCACTTGAATGGCATCCTCCGAGTGTGGAATCATTTTCGAGCCCCATTCAAAAGCATTTTTCTGCAATTTATATGGTCAGACTATTCACATTGAAAGGGAATGGTATTGCTGGACCAAAGTATAACACAATAATTTTGCAAACGAAGTTAAAAGAACTGAAGAGAAACAAAAAAGTTAATAAGAAAATAAGGAGACACCAATTCCTTATAGTTGGTCATACATTTGACTATTATTTTATAAGAAAAATTATGTGGAAGTCAAATCTCAAGCCAAAACTCGAGTAAATGACAGAAATTACTTCAGCATTTTCTCCTATGAGGAAAAATCTAAACAAATATTTTAATTAAATAAAACATCCAGAGTACTGCACCCTGTAGAAGCATGCTCCAAAACACACAATTCCACTCTGATTGCATCCTTTAAGAGATTTTAGACTTGAATATAATATTATGCTTTTAGTTGAGAGGATTATGGGAAAAGAGCACCTCCAAAGCAAACTCCAGTCCTCTACTAAATACATACATGAAGTCACCAAAAACCAGGAAAAGGAACAAATAGTACTTCATCTACAAATTAATTTTAATCTGATTTGTCTTTGTGACTTCAAGAACTCTCACAAGGTTTTTCCATGAATAACAAATAGTATATGCATTTCATATTTACTAGCTCGGAAATCTAGGAAGCCAATAAAAAAGTAAAATTCTCGAGGATAGACTGGTGGCATGAGCTCACACTGGACAGCTATTCGGTACTCTTTACTACAGGATAAAAACTATTTAGATGGAATGGAAGGTTACAAAAAGAGAGGGGGTTAAAGAAAATGATAATTTATACAAATTCAAATTATGTGAAAAATATTCCTAGAAAGCAAACTTAGGAGGGTTCTGGAAGAGTCAAGCATCCGGTAGAAACAACTATTGTTAACATTTGGTTGAGTGTTGTTGTTTCAGATATGCTTAAAATTACAAAGGCTAAAAGGAAGATTTTGAACAGGCTTTTCGAAAAGATAAAAGTAAATTTTAATTTTCATGCAGTCACGAGTTGTAATTGATTGTGTCAATGTTAGAGGTAAGTTCGTTTTAAAAATAAAACTCATTTATTTACCAGAACTCTTTCATTTGAAGTAACTTCCAGCATAGCAGTATGTAATGGTAAAATAAGTAACAGAAAACCATGCATTTTGGTAGCCATAAACATGAAGATGGTCAGACAAAATTAAAAGAAGTACCTCTGGATGCCACTGGAAGGCAGTGACAGGATAGCCATATGCTTGTACAGTGGAGACATAGACCTGTAATTAACATTTCTACAGAAATAAGGATTTTTAAAACAGCCATGAAAATTAATGAGATAAATCTAGTTAGACATGTCCTATGGCATAGTAAACAGGAAACAGTGATGGATAAAATTCATTACCTCATTATTTTCATCAGTGCTTGTTGTTAAGACCTTGAAGAAACTGGATAGATTTGGATTATTTCGAAGTCTCTCTGGTGAAATGCCATACTGTTACATTGAGACATTGGTTTAGACATTGCTAATTAGCTTCTATATAAAAGCATAACAGTGACACCAAAGAGAGGGGGGGTCTCTATGTGCACTTTCATCAACAACAAGAACATATTTTTAGAGGAATTCATCATCTTTAAAGCTCAACAACTAAGGTTCCATTTAATTGTCCTTGGGGCTTGGGCTTCTTTCTTGTTACCTATAAATTATATTAGCATCTTTCTCCTTTCTTCTTTGTTAGGCCTATGTTCTTTGCTAGCTATTCCCAGAAGGACATCTTGTCCTTTGAATTTCTGCTATTTTAGCTACCAAGAAAGAAGTGGGAATGGCTCAAAACCCAGGAAAAATTTTACTTTCAAGGAAATCAAATTAAGTATTACGAAAATAAAAAACATAAAAAATTTACTTTGCAAGGTTATAACTTAAAATCCATTTCATCTATCACATATCCTATCTTGCATAGATGTTAAATTGCCAGTTAGAGGGAGTCCTGTCACCAGAGGCAGCCGAAAATAAAAAAGATAACATAATAAATTAGAACATAGGTGCTTCGTTATTAGGTCATGCTTTCTGGAGTCATCCAAAGATGCCAGGATAAAGAAGAAAACCTATTAGTAATACATTGTGTGACTAATTGAAACAATCAACAAAAAGAAGCCATGAAACTCACATGATGGTTTTGCATGACTAGACAATCTGTACCTAGCTTTTTCAGCATATCTGGAGGAAATCTGTAGAAGAATATAAATATGAAGATGTAAAGGTGTGACTGGAGCAATTAACATGTAATTACACTAACTATAAGAAATTACATAAGCGTCCCTCAAAATAGATCTCAGTCAGGTTGGGCTAAGAGGGAAAGTCTGCTGATAATCCCTATCTTTCTAGTCTATCAAAATGTGATTGCAATTGCTTGGACCAAAATTATAAATCATCAGCTTCAAATCACCTCATCTCTACTAATGATTGAAAGGTTATACATTACAAACACATATACCTACAACATCAATTATAACACATGCATAAAGCCCTCTAATAACAGAAATCAGTGTCTATTATTATTGGCATTCATAGCTATTATTATTTATCAAAGGTGTGAATCTAAAGTTTGGAGAAGGATATATGGAAAATCCATCCCAAAGCTAACCTCAGTAGAGTAAGAACATCAGGCTAAGATGGAAAGTCCTAATGTTTTTGTGGTGCTTCACTATAAACTTCAAAGTTGTACAGTTCTGGTACCGTCTTATTGTCATGTTTAACACAGTGTAAACAAAAGATAACAAGGACAATGTAGGATGCCCAAAGCAACAGCACCAATATTTCACACCAAATATTATGCTATGATCATCACTTCACCTGAACAACTTCAGAAAATCACATGCTACTAATTGACTTCCTGTTTTCTATGTCACATGCAATAAACTCCTAATTCTCATCATGAAATTAGAGATAAGTAAGCACAAACCACGTATGTTCCATGAAACTCTTTGCCTGCTTAGCAATGCATACGCATGGGCCTTTCTTACTTCCAGGGCTTAACTATTTTGAACTTTCCTATTAAGCATCTAATCACTACCAGCAAAATATATTCGAAATCACAAATATTTAACCCTGTTATGATAATCATGTATAATAGGTAGCATTAATATCATAAGAACATAATGACACAAAAACCAAACAATATTAAAGTACCTTAGGAAGGTAATAAAGCTTTTGTACCTTTGAAATACTGTTCCTTTGATATTAATGTTTTTCACAAATTGGAGACTAGATGCCTGATCGTCAGCACTAAATGATTCAAGAATATTTCTGTCCTATCATCAAGAAGAAAAGTTGATGTATTCATTAAGTTCAGATTTTGTTAAAGTTTTTACAATTTAACAAAGACAACCCTGAAGTAAATAGCTCGTCAGACAAAGTAAATGTGGCTAGAGTTAAGCTAATTTGAAATGAAGTGATTGCATAAAAAACCATTGGAGTGAGATATGATGATTTCAAATTTTCACAGAAATGTTTTCCAGTAAGGTGAACCATTGGTTATTTGGTTTGGATGCCATGAACAAGGTAACCATGAATTTCCAACCTAACTGATCAAATACTACAGTTTTCACAATAAAGTGAACGGGCAGAAGAATTGCCTAAAATCAAGAAATTAAGCATCTTATTTTGTCATTTCACAATGACAGATGAACGAATATAAGTACAGAGCCAAGTCCAACATAGAGAACTAAAGTTAACTACATTAAGAAAAGCCTTGTAAATAAATAAAAGTCCGAAGAAGAGTGAATTGTTTTTCCTTTAAAAAAGAAACAGAGGCAAAATAGAGGTAAGATAATGTAAGGGATGCTTACTTCACTGATAATCATTGTTAAAAGTTCAAAACCCAAGCAAATGGCATACAATGGGAAATGATCTCCCTTATCATTCTTCTCTAGAACTTTCTGCAAGAAACAGAGAAATAAATAATTTTATATACAAATGAAGAATTCTTGCTGTGAGACAATCAGAATATAAGGGGAAAACCAACTTGATCTCTATTTCTTTATAATTAACGAATGGAGATATAAACATTTGAAAAATAACTTGGTAAAATAACTCTCATGCATATAATCTTGTTACTGTCATCCAAGTTTTGTAAATTAAAATAGACAAACAAACACAAATTACCTTAAATATTTTTTGAGCCATCTCATAGTACAATCCGGCTTTAGCCCACCCTCCTGTAAAAAGCACGCCATTAACCAATTCAAGCTTCTGCAATACAAAGGTGGAGTAGAGACTTTAGCGAGATGGCAGTTTTTTGGGAAGGGAAGACAACATGAATGCTAAAGCAGGTATCTTAGCATCATAGATACCATTGTCGAATCATAGCAAATCAAAGCAATAAAATGAAATGCATATAGCAACCAACAAGGCAATTGAAATAACTTTTCAAATATTAAGAACCTGAAGAATATACCCAAAAGAACATCCACAAAAATGCAACCAACAGACCTTTGTAACAAGGTATTGCAAGCCAATGTCCCAAGGGAATTTATGTTGAAAATCAGCACATTCAACACATTAAATATAAAAATATTTCCAAAATAAACAAGTGCCCTTGGTGCACTCATTTGCCATTATTAACTAATTTTTAAATTAAAGACAAAGATAATTTTATTCATTAATGTAGCAAAATTATTACCATAAATCCGAGCTTAACCCATTAGGTTCATGTAAACATGTGTGACATCTAGACGTATCTAACAGATCTAGAGTACAAATCCTAGCATCTACAATCCGTTCCCATAGCCTCCTTTATATCAACAAATTAGTACCATTATTACTAAAAATTGTCACCCATTTATTAATTCTTCACAAAGCATATAAATGAATAAAGATTCTAAACTAAACCAAAAGCAGTTACTGTAATTTTTACCAAAGTGGGAAGTTCTCTTTCCAAATATAGACTTACTAAAAATAAATTATTTTTAGCCTAACTATCAAATTTTTAAACCTAACTTAAACCCCCAAAAATTAAGTCAAGATTTAGCATTTTTACAACTAACTAAACATTGTGGTTACCTCGAAAAGAATATCTTCAGGCTCATTATAAATAAGAGGAATCACTCGAGCACCAGCCGCTTCAACGAACTTCACATACGACGCCGCTATGTACGACGCATTCGTATCATTGTTCAGCCTCCCCGACGCGCCGTCTCCCGGATGACTGAGTATCCCGATCACCGGCCGATAATAGAGCTTCGGGTCAAGAGTCGTGCAACTCGGAGCCGAACTCAGTGAGTCGGGAAAGGAGTCGTCTCCTCGTTGGCTCGGGAGGAGGAGTGGAGTGGAGGTTTGAGCTTTAGCGATGGCGAGGTCTTTGGAGAGGTAGAGGAGTATGGGTACGAAAAGGTAATTCCACATGTCGGGAGAATGGGACGCAGCAGAGGAAGTGGAAGTGGAAGTGGAAGCGGAAGGGGGGCGGTGTCGTGTGGAGGGTCGGAAGAGGGGTTAGAGAGATAGAGTGAGGGCATTTTGGGGAATTGACATGGAGAGAAAGGAAAGGAAAGGGAAAGGAAAGGAAGAGAAAAAAAAAAGAAGCGGCCTTATAAAATTTGGAGAAATGGAGGGAGCTTTTAAATGTGAGCGTGAAGATCAATAGTCCACAATTATCTAGATATAGTTTGAAAATGTCAGTCAAATACTTTTCCATAGTCATTCTTTTCGTTGCCTTGCAAATTGAAGTTTATTATCCCAAATGCTTGTTTTTCTATTCCAAAGGTTGTTTTTTTTTTTTTTTTTTTTTTTAACAATTAGTGGTTGGAAGAATGTGGGGGTGAATAGAGCAGAAGCAACACAATCTCAAACTAGAATAGTTGCAGACAGAAGATGGTTTCAAGGGTTTTGAAGATGAATGTGGATGCAGCTTTTGATCAGGTTAGCCAGGTTAGGAGTTGTTGTTGGAGATCATTTGGACAAGGTGAAGGCTTTGTGCTTTAACTGCAACAAAGGCTGAGTTTTTGGTCTTCATATCGTCATTAAGTGCGACTAAGAGGATTATTATGGAAGGGAATTCTGTTCAAGCTATTGGGGAAGTGCAAAAGATTATTGGTTATTACTAAATTAGTTTATTTTTAATAAAAAAATATTACAGTCTAAACATTAAAAAAATATAAATATTAAAATTATTGAATGTCATCTGTTAATGTAATTAATTTTAAGGATATTTATTTTGTTTATTTAAAATATTAATAAAATTAAATCCAAACCTTAAAACGATTTGTTTATATAACTATCAGCATTTAATAGGTTTGAGAGCATATATTTTTTTATTTTATGTTACGGTTTTTTTTACTTAATTTTTTTTTTGATAGATGATATTTTGATTAATTATTGAAATAATAATTACCCAACGAATTGATTAATTGTTGGTTTCCTTGTTGGATTAGGAAAAGGAAGTTGCGCGATGGGTCAACAAATCCTAATCTTGAACCAATTTGTGGAAAGCCAGTGGCTCTCAAATTCAACAATGCAACATGTGATCTCGACATTGCTAATGCTTATTTTGGTTTCCTGATGGTCGGACCCAATGGTGGCGTGGCTCAAACACTTGCTACTTCTTCAGTTGAACGAATCCCATTCAGATATACAAATGATTCAGACACGACACCAATGTCAGGATAGTCTATTTTACATATATTTTATTTATAGCTTTAGTCAAATATTTAGCAAATATAATTATATAATTCATTTGTCATATTTCCTTTTTCTATCTTTTTCTTATGGGATGTCACAAAATTGTGTTATTTTTTATTAACATCTAAAATTCTTATTTTTCATATTTTAAAATAATTGTTAATGATTTTTTATTTTTGATATTAAAAATCATAAAATTTTAACTTTATACAAAATTTAAATTTAAATATTAAATGCATTAAAGTTAATTTTTTTTAAACCCCATGAAACAAATATTTTGAGACGAAAGAAATATTTTTTTTTATTATTTTTACTTATTTTGAAAAATTGTTATTGTAAGTAAATAAAATGTATGTTGAAATTAAATAATTTTGTCATGAAATAAATAGTTAAAACTAATTGAGATTTAAGAGTTTTTCACAAAAGAATACAATTAATTTTGGATTTCTAATATTAACAAAAAAAAAAATGCTTTTGTGATTGTATTTGTGTAGGTATGCGGGTTATTACTTGGTAAGATCAAAATCCTCACACAAAAAAAGTACATATATTAAGAAAGTTTTGAAGTTCGGGATTGAGACTAAAACAAACAACTATGTTCATGAAGTGTTTGTCCAGCTATGTAGAGTTTCGGACAAATATTAAGAGAAACCAACAAATAAAATTTTGGATAACTCTAAACATCAGGAAAGATTCAAAATGATGCCCCGAATCTTATTGTGATCAAGGAAATGTTTTGAAACGATTAAATGAAAATGATGAAATTATAGTTAATTCTATTAGTGAAGTTAATGAGTTTAATGAAAATTTAAACATTGATTCAGAAATCAAACCAAACATTTAAAATTTTTAATTTCTATATATATCTATCATTTCACTTTTATAGTTAGATATTTAAGATCAACGATGTATTTCAAGCTATTATATATTACTCATAGTAAATTTTTTATCATCTTATTTTCTTATTATAATTTTTTTTTTATCAAGAAAAAAAAAGCAAGTTGCATTTTCTTTTCTTTATGATTCATAATTTTGGTTAAGGTATGAAGATTATTTAATTATAACTATCATTTTTATTTGTAAGTCTAATCTAAAAAATTATAAAATATGAAACAATAATATGATTTTCCCTATTATATAATGAAAAATATATAGATAAAAATATTTTAAAAAGTAAGCCGGCCGAGCTTCGGCTTCAAAATATTTAGCCCAACCTGGCTGAAATTGCGTCGGACGTGAAACGTCATCTTAATTACGGCCGAAGATTTCAAAATAGAAGCCCAAATGAGTCTAAAGGGCTGAAAAGCCCAATGATTCTTCAACGTTTGACCCAACAGACTACTTCAGCTTGTCCGAGACACCTCCCAATTTCGAAATCTATTTAAATTCGTAGGCGGGTATTGGGTAGGAGCTGGGAAGAAAAACCCTTCAAAAGCCTCAAAAAATTTTCATCTTTGACAATGGATTTAGACCCAGAGGATGTTTTCAAGGATGAAGAAGACGACCCAGATAACGAATTCTTCCAGGTTCCCTCTCTTTTTCTTTTCTTTTCTTCTCCACGGTAAAGATATGAGAAATGAGAAATGTAATTGTTTTGTTTTTATACAATTTTGCAGCAAAGTGAGAGCTCCAAAGAGTATGTTGTTTACTTGGTCGACGCTTCTCCCAAAATGTTTAACACTACATGTCCTGGTGTAAGTTTTCTATTTTATTAAAAAAAAAAACCCCATTATGTTAATGTCTTTTCCTTTTTTCTTTTTCCTATTGTGTTAATGTCTGGGTTTTAAGCATCAATAAATTAATTGGCTTTTCTTTCTTATTTTCTTTTCCTGGCTTAATATGGTAATTAAGTTATCCTTTAATGGTTATATTCTTTGATTAACATGTTATTGCCTTTAGCTATTTCAAGTGCAATCTGACTAGCAGTTGTTGATTATTTTTTTTTTTTTTTCAATATTGACAGAAAGATCAAAAGGATGAAATTCATTTCCATGTCTCCATCAGCTGTATTGCAGAATCACTCAAGACCCAAATCATTTGTAGATCGTATGATGAAGTCGCAATTTGCTTCTTTAACACTGTAAGATGCAATTCTAGCAAACTGTGCCGTTTAGGTTGATTTTTTTGTTTGATTTGCTGTAATTAGAATCTCTAGTCCTGTTGTACAGAAAAGCCAGAGTGGGGCTTTCACTTAGAGCATAGGGTAAAGAATTTTGCTTCTAATATCCAAGAAGCACTGCACAACTTCATGATGCTGCATACATAACAATTGGCAAAAGATGTAATGGTAATTCATTACACTTTTGCCTTTCAAACTAAAGGATAAAGAAGAGATTAAATAATTAATGTGGATATTCTGCAATGACCTTAGTTTGTATTTTAACTGATTCAATATGGTAGGACGATGCATGATTTAAGTAGCATGCAGAAAAAGATATTTGCTATTCTTACCACAGGCATTTCCCAAATACAATCATGCATTGCCATTGTTTAGTTGCATAAATACAGGTGATATTACTTTCTTTAAATAGGATCTTGGGCAATTGTCTCCTGGTTTTTTGGCATTAGGGCCCCAAGTAACTACCTTAAAACATCTGGCATCTGGCTTGAAAAAGCTTCTTACTATTTCATACTCAGATAGTGATCAGAAACAGAAGAATTCATTATGTGTACATCTTTATTTGTGTCACTCTACAATCAAGTTATGGATATTAGCCGCTTATACTAGTCAATTTTGGCAGAATTTAGTTGACTCCTCCTAGTTTGTTTTAGGTATGCTGCCTATGATATGTTTTCTTACTATCTTTTTTTCTTTTTTTTTTTTTGGTGACTGCAGAGGGAAAAGAAAAATTTGCAAGATTTAAATGGTGTTTTTGTTTTTAATGTTGCTGAAAGGGAGCAACTAGACAGGCCAACAGCAAGGCTTATAAAAGAATTTGACTGTATAGAAGGTAATTTTTAGTCAAATTAATTTGCTTTATTGGTGATCAACGATGAAAATCTGATTCTAAGCTTAGTCTGTCTTCTTTGACTCCACATTGCTTCTACAATACTTTAAACCAATCTTAAAGTATTACATTTTAAAGTACACCATGTTTTAATCAATTCATTAATGTCATCTTTTATTTTAAAAATTTGAAGTTACAAAATTTTGGTTCACTAACATACCTTTCTTTTGAGTTATTTTCAGAATCATTTATGAGAGAAATTGGGAGTCAGTATGGTATTGTGCCTGGGTCTCGGGAGAATTCCCTTTACAATGCTCTCTGGGTTGCCCAAGCTCTTCTTCGCAAGGGTATGCTTACATGTTGGATTTGTCTTATGAGTTATGACTAAGCAGGGATTGTTTTCTTTCTTCTTTTGTTTCCCAAGGCTCCTGCAACTGGTTTTTGTTAGTTTGTGACAGCGAAACTCTTTCAGGTCTATTAAGACAGCTGATAAGAGAATTCTTCTCTTTACTAATGAAGATGATCCTTTTGGGAGTCTCCAGGGTGCTGCAAAAGCAGATATGACAAGAACTACATTGCAGCGAGCTAAAGTAAAATAAATATAAAGTTGCACATGCTTTACAGTTTAGTGTTCTATGAATGCAATTTGAACTGCATTTGATTACCGGATTGTGTCACCTGCATTCTTCTTTTCCTCTCTTATTTTTTCTTTCCAGGACATACAAGATCTTGGAATCTCAATTGAACTTCTCCCCTTAATTCGTCTAGATGAGGAGTTCAATGTTTCTGTTCTATATTCAGTATGTTTATTCCTTCACTTTGTGTTTTCTTGTGCGGATTGAGTGGGTGCTTTTATATATTTACTTTGGACACCAATTTTTTATTTCTTTCAGGATTTGATTGGGTTAGATAGTGAAGATCTTGCTCAATTCATTCCATCTGCAGGCCAGAAGTATGTACTTTTTGTTTTATTTTGTATTATTATTTTCTTTACATTTAACTTATCTCTATTGTGCAATTACTTGGATATCTATCAGGCATTATACTTTTAAGTCAAAGAACCAGCCATTTATGCAAATCTGATGTTGTTTGATTATAATGAATTTCTGAGTTCTGCAATCAGTTTCACCTGTAATACATTCAATTTCCAAACCTGAAAAATGTGATTTCTTGAATGCTTTTGATTCCTCTCCTGGTAGGTGTGTAGCAAAGTTTCTGCTATTAGCTTAAAAGTTTTGATCTAGTTTCTTGTTTTGTTCTTCTTTGATGCACTCAAATAAAATCCATAGCGTTGATCTTTACGGAGTTTGATTGAGGGCTTTATATTCCTTGTTGATCATCACTTCAGGGATTTAAAAGGAATTATGATTGGGGACAATGAAGGTTGAGTATGATTGGATTTTGTTTTCTGTCTACCATTTGATTTCTGCAAGGTTGAATGAATATGAAGCTGGTGGCTTGTGTCTTACCCACTCCTAATTGGTCAAACTGTGGAGCTTGAGGCAAAGATTTAACTTTAGGCAATTGGACCATTGTAAGAGAAGAGAGTAAACTTAAAATGCACTATTGAATATATATGTGAGGATCAACCATTGAAAAGAGATCAGGGTATTTTTTGAATGTGTTCAATTACTAAATTGTTGTTGCAGTTTGGTTGGCACTCTCTTGGTCCCTTTTATTTTTACTTTTTTTTTGTTCACTTTCCAGAAAAAATAAATGGAAAGAGCTGAATAATTGGTGATGAATAAAGAAGAATGGTAGTCCAAGTCAGTGTCGAAAAGTGGTTGCAGTATTCAAGAATTGCAAAAGAAAATCCATCATCGAAATAATGCTATGGAAACAACCATAAGAATAACGTGGTGATAGCATGAAAATTATAGAACTCTACTTGTGGGAATAGGATTGTCTAGTTATTATTCTTGAAAATTGCCAATGGCCTTTTTATGCAAAACCCCCATCATGAAGCAGTTGAACGGAGCATTTGGTAGGATGAAGAGGGATAAACTGGCCACTTGAAGTGGGCTGCTTGGCCTTAACCAGTATCTGGCATAACTTAGTTGTTTAAGTTTGCTAGTGTAACTTGTGACCATTATCATCAAGCGAACTCAAAGTCGCAAGAGAAAGGCTATCTTATGTATTGGTATATATATATGTGTGTGTGTGTGTGTGTGCAGGTCAGTGGTCCGAATGCTAACATAGAATTTGCAGAATCAGATTGTTTTGAGTGTTGCAATGAGTTGATCTTGTTAAAAAATTTGAGCGTGAATTATGACTTGTTTTTGTTGTTGGATACTAAATTAGAAGTCCCACGCTTCTTTCTTCTTCTTCATCTTCTTATGACAGAAGAATTGGCGACTTTCTGCTTACATCTAACTCATACTTCTTGTGACTGCTGAAAAAAAAACATTTTTTTATGCCCTATTGGCACTTACACTAACTTCTAATTTCTGAGTACCTATAAAATAATTGTCCATTTTAGTAAAAAAAGTCCAGACAAAACATGACAACGAATTGGTATTTCTAGCACCTCTTAAGCACTGTTTATGAACTCTTTCTTCATGCATAGAGATCATATTAACTCTCAATGGACGGTTGTCTTCTAAATTTTATAATCTTTACCGATTTCCTCTGGATCAGTTTTATATATATATATATATATATATAAATATAACTAGTCACAGTAGCAGTATTAAAAGATATAGATTTTTATAATTACATCCACAATTCATCTAGTCTTGACATTTCCATTTTATGAATATGTTCATAATCTAATTTCAGATTGGAAGATATGAAAGATCAACTGAGGAAGCGTATGTTCACAAAGCGGATAATTAGAAGGATCACATTTCATATCGTTAAGGGATTGTCAATTCAGCTGAATACTTATGCTTTAATTCGTCCGACAGTTCCAGGTAGACAGTTCTCCATGTTCTAGTTGAATTTTGGATGTCATCAGACATCAGGTACCATACTTGGTAACTTTTTTCCCTCATTCTTCTATGTTCCTAGGGGCAATTACATGGCTTGATTCTGTCACCAATCGTCCTTTAAAGGTAATTACAAGTTTTCTTTATGTCTCAGGTAGTGCATAGGCTCTTAATATTTGGTAATTCTGAAAAGATTCGTGTTCTGCATGACAACTGACAACAACCATTTGTACACCTATAAGCATCAGTGATCTAAGTTTTATTTGGAATGCCTTTTATATTCTTTATGCTCAACTTTTTCTCCCTCTTACAAATTTTTTATTCTCTTCTCTCTCTCTCTCACTCTGTGTGTGTTTCTGTCCACCTCTTCCCCTTTTTTGGGACACACGTGAGTGATTTTAGTTAATAGATATTTGACAATTTAGGATGTAAGTATAGATCCATATTAGTTTAACTGAATGGTGCTTGTTTTGCTTTATGCATGTACTATGGAGTAAGATATCATTGTAGAGTTTTGAATAGGGTTTTTATGGAGCTTAGAAGAAACAGTGTGTTTGCTATTAAGCTGTATAATTTTGTTAATGGTTTTTGCAGAGAATGGAAGTGAAGCTGTATCTCATAGATTTTAGTTTGATTATTTAATGATATGGTGCAGATTGAAAGATCTTTGATCTGTGAGGATACAGGTTCATTGATTCAGGAACCTCCTAAACGCTTTCAGCCATATAGAAAGTAAGCATAGCTATTATTTATAGTGCTTTATCTAACAAAATAAGGAAATACATCATGCTTGTTAATCACTGAAGGCTTCATGCATATGTCCTGTTGCTTGTAAAATATTACAGTTAATTCTTACTAGATATTGACCTTTCTAGTGGATTGAATAGTTTATGAATCTTGTTTCCTTTCTTGAGGAAAATATAATATAATATATTATTTCCCTTTTCCTCATTTTATTAGAATTGCTTCTGATATTGGGATTTCTATTTGTGGACGATTTTATTCAAGAGGCAATACAAGACATTTCTTTATATTTTCTTTAATAGAGACCAAAAGCCTTTTTCTAATAGAAAATAATTCATCAAAAGTGTTCAGGAAAAATCATCATTTCTGTTAATTGATGATATTTGTGATGCACATTATGGGGCAAACATGGCAGCATATGTCCTTGATTAATGAAAGAAGTTTTCTAATGTAGAGTATCTTACTGTCATCATGATGGTTGTGTTGCTGGTCCATCACGGTTAAGAAAGGATGTTTTCTAATTTAGAGGGAACTTCATGTCACCATGATGGTTGGTTATTGATTCATCAGGGAATGATATAGTTTAATTCATGCACTGAAATCTGTTCCTATGTTGTGCTTGTTAATATTTCAGTTTCATTTCCTGTAACTCTATCCTAATCAACTTTGCTTCCCTGCTTTTCCAGTGAGAATGTGAAGTTCTCGATGGATGAAATATCTGAGATAAAAAGAATATCAACCGGACATCTTCGTCTTCTTGGATTCAAGCCATTATGTTGCTTAAAAGATTACCACAACTTGAGGCCATCCACGTTTGTATATCCCAGTGACCAGGTTGATTCAGTCTTACCTCAAATGATATATATGTTTATTTTCTTGAATTTTTTGCATCTTCTTTACTCTTGATCTTGTAGATCTTTTCTATGGTGACAGTTATTTTTTCCCCACTATCTTTCTCTCTCTCAGTTGTTGATATTAAGAAAGGGAAGTGTGATGTACTACAAATTGAAAGATAATGTTGATTAGGACTGCTTTATCAAGACTATAGATGACAAGTTTTTTGGAAGTATAATTGTATATCTAGTGCTTCTTATATGTTTTCTGCTAAACGTTTGGAACTATGCTGCAATCATGAGAAAAAGAAAAATGAGTTAATGTTCTAGAAAGGCAGAAAAGAGTCAATGAGAAGATGGTCTAAACACAAAAGGCTGCACAGATTAAATGAAAGGTTTTCAAAGGCCATGCTGTTCTTTCGAAGGACCTTGAGTATTTGACATAAATTGATGATTGTTTGGAGGACTAAATTGTGGTTCCTCCTTCAAAATAATAGGATCTGATGACTTATCAAATTAAAATCTGACAGATTTGTTCAGAGTTTGTTTTATTTAGTTATTTACTCTAATACTTAAACAAATAATGCATTTCCATGTGCTTGTGAAAGAAAAATATGTTGCTAAAATATTTAATATTTTGTTATGAGTCTTGATTCTTCTTTGTCCATCCTACTGACTGTCAATAATTTCCTGCATATCCCTTTTGTAAGATATCATTGTAGCGTTTCAAATGCAACAGTTAATTAAGAATGCTTTTAAAGAACCTATAAAAATTTGTATACTAGTGGCCCAAGCTCGTTTGCAAGGATCTAATGTAAGGTGTCACTGCTGAGTCTATACCATTCTGATAATCTCCTGGTGGTTGTATTGACAATATCCTCAAATGAAGACCCAAGATTACAATATGTGCTCCTCATAAAGCATATATACAACATCTATGAACATACTAGGGGAACATGGGTGGTCCAAACTCATCTCAATTTTTGTGCAGGTCAGGTGTCTTTCTAGTTGGCCCTTTTTGTTCATGAATTAAATTACCATCTTTAGGAGCCAAAACTAGCCTGTTCATATTCAGCTTAATTAGTTGCAGCATATGATGTTGTAAGATGGTAATTACTGGTGTTATGATGTGGATACACCTATTCAGGCAGCTGTTTGTTACTTAGTGTCCTTTGGTTTAGTGAACCTTGCTTTTCTATTGTTTACAATTACTAAAACTTTTGCTGGTTGTCCACTATAGGAAGTGGTTGGTAGCTCCTGCATTTTTATTGCCTTGCACAGATCTATGCTAAGGCTCAAACGGTTAGTACTTTGCAACTTCACCTTCTGTGTGCTGTTTGCTGTTCTTCAAACTGAACCACTAAGAGTGTCACATGCATTCTTCTTGTTATGATTATATATCATATCATTTGATCTAATTTGGTAATTTTCTCATCTCAGTGAGCATAAGTAATTCTTAAATTGGATTTCAGAATTTGTTTTTTGCATGTGGTTGTATCCTTTATACTTTTTGTCATTTTGATTGTCACATACATATTAGTCATTTCATGGGTTCTCATTTGCAAGACTAAGGAGACAAAGGGAAAGCTTCAAAAGTTTCTTGTAATGAATGACTAATGTAACTCTGAGGCAATGAATAATTGAGAGGAAATAGAAAGTAAAACCATTTACCAGTTTTGTTTCATTTTGAAGGGAATTCTACTTAACTATGCATTAAGCTCCCATATGAACGCATTTCCCTGAACAATTGCAACTGTAAAATAGGAAAGTTTTATGACTTGCTTCTTACTATTGGTTTTTTAGAAACAACTCTTTCAAGAATAATATTTTGCATTTATTTTACTTTGCTTCTGCAAAGCATTTAGTTTGTAAAATTTATGGACAACAAATAGTAAGTTAAGCGGCAGGTATCATGCTTAAAATTTACATCTAATGCTGTTTTATTTTATTTTATTTACTTTTCATTATTATCATGTTCATTATAGCTGAGCATTTTTTTGGCTAAGTTAGTGGAGATAATCAACTACATTAATGAAATCACAAACTTCTGATGAAAAATAGAATTGTTGTGACCAAACCTAATAAACCTTATATGCTTCTGTTCTCTTTGTTACTTTCTGGATGAATAAGTGTTGAATGTGTTTGCATGGGACAGTATGCCAATCCCTATTAAGCTAGTCTTCTAGACAGGAACAAGGCAAGTGTTAATGATTGTGCTTTGTTGTTGATTGGTTTTAGTTGATATTTTGATCAAAGCCTTGCTTTGCCATGATTACTTTCATTATTCTGATATTGAATGGTATTTGAAGTTAAGCTTTATGGTAACACATTGCAAATAATGGTGAATATGTAAGGGCTGTGTTTGTGTCATTGCAGTTTTGCAGTTGCATTTTATGGGGGCTCATCTCGTCCTCAATTAGTTGCCTTAGTTGCACGAGTAAGATTTCTGTTACACTTTCGACTAATGCATCTTGCCTAATCATTGATGTGAAGTCTGTATTTGGGAAATTATGCTTCACTGCTTGTCTTGCTATGTGTTGTCAACTTGTTTTTTCTCTCTGTTTTCCCTTATCATAAATGTGGAGCTAATACAAGCACTATGGTGGACTTAAGCTCTCTAACATGTTACTTGAATCATTCAGTTCTCAACAGTGGGAAATATGATACACAAATATGATTGAAATTAAAACACTACTATCACATGTTGTATGGGTGTTAAGCTTTGTAACTGGATAGAGGAAGGTGTCCTAGTTTTTCCGCTGAAGTCCGTTGCTTGTTGTATGGAGTTTGGATTGAATCTCAGCTTCACCTAGGTTGAGAAGAAATTTTAAGGGAAAAGAGGAAGGTTGAAAGGCTGCTCAAACATTTCTTTTCAAACTGAACAAACTGTGCCATTTTAATATTTCTAGGAAAGTAGACTAAGTGATAAATATAAATCTGAGTAGAATTTAAATGCTGTATCATGAAATGATTTTGGATTACTATAATGTTACAATATCCCAACCCAGTAGGCGAACTTGAAGGCATCATTGTATCTTTGTGTCATTGTTAATTGCTTGCAAATGACCTGCATTTTCCACTGAATCTTGGCCCAAAGGTGCTGTACTTCAAAGAACTCTCAGAAAGACACTGTAGTGTTTTGTATGTGGTAGTGCACATTATTGATGCACTTGTAGTTGTTTACTTGTTCTTGGCATGTATAAACAAAGTCTGGTCCAGGTTTAATATGCTATATGTATATGTTATGCAGCTGATAGTGTTACTTTTTGACATGCGGAGAGAAATTAAATTTGTTTTATGAGAAACTTGGACAAGTACTTTATGTTTCTTAATGATCATGTTGTAAAAATGACAATTAGAACTGCAAATTATACTATTTGAACCAAAACTGAAGGATACAGTGGAACTTTTTGCCTCTCATTTATGTTTATACGGACAATTGTGACAAAGCTTATCAATCTTCTTGAAACTTCTCAGGATGAGATTACTACAGCTGGTGGTCAGATGGAGCCGCCAGGGATGCACATGATATACCTTCCATACTCTGATGACATCAGAGATGCTGAAGAGGCAAGGAAATATTGATGAGTTTATGCAAAAATATTTTCAAGTCATCACTGATAAAATTGGGGTTATTTCACAGATTTTTCCAGATACAGAAGATGATGCACCTCGAGCAGATAAGGATCAAATTCAAAAAGCTGCTGCTTTAATAAAACGTATTGAAATGAAAGATTTCTCAGTTTTCCAATTTGCTAACCCTGGTAAGCTGTCATGTTATACATTGTAATTCCACTGCTTAGACATTCATAGGCAGTGTTCTTTTCCAGTTTTATGAAAATCAATAAATCACTAAATAGCTCTTTATTAGTTAATATGGTATGTTAGTATTTGTGACCTTTAGATTTGGCCTGAAATTTTAGAATGGTTCCAAGTGCGCCAAAAGCATTATTTTGTTTCAACATGATTGAAGTTCAGTTTGAAATTGAGACCATGAAGCTGTAATATGAATCATAAACTCACATCAGTTACTCTGGATTCAAGTCATGGAACCAAAATGACATTATCCATAATATAGAAAACAATGTGGACAAGGTTAAACATATGAATTGATATAATATCAATTGTTTGCTTATTCTTCTGTATGATCAAGTATATATAATTACAGCTTGTCAAATAGTCAGTTTCCACTTTTTCAAGCAATATGGGTACTTTTAAGGTTTGATAATAATAAATTCTTAGGTATCAAACTTCTTTCTCTTTTTATTCTCACTCTCTTTTTTCCCCATTAAATTGGAGTGTCAATTTGCATTGATCTCGTACTTGTGTTAAACTTTGTTGACTCGCTTACTATTTCTTGATACATCCTTGAAGCCTTGCAGAGACATTATGCAGTGCTGCAGGCTCTAGCTTTAGAAGAAGATGATATTCCTGAGACCATTGATGAGACAGTACCTGATGAGGAAGGTTTGGCTAGGTAATAAAGTTTTGCCTTGTATTTTTTAAATTCTTTCATCCCCCTCTGGCCTTTTATAAAATCAATTGACTTATCAATTGGTCATTGTGAGATAATTTTTTTGCACAGACCAGCAGTAGTTAAGGCAATAGAAGAATTCAAGCTTTCTGTCTATGGGGACAACTATGATGAGGAAAACGACCATTTAGGTAAAGAAAAAGTGGGTGGGGCCTCTAGAAAACGAAAAGAAATTGCAGAAAATGCAGCTAAGGATTATGATTGGGCTGACCTTGCAGACAATGGGCAGGTGAAATTAAATGTTTTGTCTATGTTTCAATAATGCTTTTAATCTCTTAATCATCAAAATTTAAGTAAACGCTATTTCAAAGGAAAGAATTTTCCTCTTTATGAGAATAATTGAACTTCCAACTTCTAGCAGTCACAATATTTCATTCCTCAAGCTTATTAAAAAGCCATTTCCTAATTTATTGAAACAGATTCTGTTGGAAACTCTTGGTTAGGTGAAATAGTGTAAGTTGGTGTTTCCGATTCTATCTTCCCCTAATTTTGAAACGGACGTGGTATGAAACCTTGCTATCTGTGTCAATGATACTTTCTAAACTTTAAAGAGAACTGAAACCTTATATCTCAATCCCAAGTTTGCTTGTTAATTTCACGTACAATTATGAGGAAGTTTATCTTACTCGTGATTTCTCATTTTGCAGTTGAAGGATTTAACTGTAGCAGCTTTGAAAACTTACTTGAATGCACACGACCTTCCTGTCACCGGGAAGAAGGAAGCTTTGATCAGCAGGATTTTAACCCACATGGGCAAATGAGCAAAGTTGAAGCTGATAAAAAATCGTAGACTGCTATCAGATAAGCTATAATATCCTACTGATTGCCGCATTATGTAGGCCTCGTATTGTAATGCTAAAACATGCTTGGTTTTGCATGATGCAACTGAATTTTTCAAGGCTAAACATGTCTTTTCGCGTAGATTTTAAAGCTTTATTGCACATATTAGGTTTTGTCGGTGCATCATAGTTAGGCTTCTGATGACGCATTTTTAAGATCAACGAGAAGATGTGTGCACATTAACTAGTTTCCATGGTACATTTGTGTATGTATGGCAAAAAGTTTGCGTCTTTCAACCAAATGGCTGATATGCATCTGTCTTTACCCAAGATGATTCCATAATATTTTGATTTTAGACCTTGAGCTTATACTTTTCCGTGCAATTGATGTATGGAGTTTATGTGTGCGAGTGCACGTGAGCGTGTTGATTTAGTTATGCAAGCCCAAATTGTTGGTTTGCTTGGTTAGTGGTAATATTTTTCGTTTTGTTTTCGAAACTGAAAATACCAAATTTATCCGAACTCTAATATAATAAGATTTCAAATAACTGTTATTTTGAAATTTTTACTGTTGCTCCAGACTTTGGTTCTGCTTTGGAGGAAAGATAAGAAGGGACGAAAATGAAAATTTTATTAATTTAATGATTAAAATTTCTAATTATTTTTTTACTTTATAGTTTAATTATTAGATTAATAATTTTTTACTTTCATCTTTTTTATCCTTTTTTTTCTTTATTCTTATCAAGTCAAGTCTTTTGTTTCTCTTATTATATTAGCTGCATCTAATGGGATTGTGGCGTATAGCACTATGTTTTAACCCATGAATGCTGCTTTGCTGACCCAAAAAAGAAAAAAATTAAAAACTGCTACTCATAGTTTGTCCATAGTTGATAGTTGTACAAAAGACCTTTCTCTTCTGCTTCTGTTTAGAACCATTCCACAAGTTATTTTAGGCGTATTTTGGCTGTTAAAGAAAATCATTTTAGTAATCGATTGTTATTATTAAATTTTGAAAGAGTTTATTTAAATTTAATAATTTTAAATATGATCCGAAAATAATTTTAAAAAAATATAAAAATTATATGATATAAAATTTAATAAAAATAGAATAAATTTATTTTATATTTATGCTATAATAATTTTATATTTTATATATGTTGGGGATAAAATAAATGTTAACATCAATAATAAATACAAATTTATTGGAAAGCGAATGATGCCGATTGAGGCATCTCGTCAGTCATCAGCATACTTTTCTAGACAAATATCATGTGACAAATAATGCTAACATGCCCTCCAGTGGAAGGAATCTCGAGCAATTTGCAAAGATTAGACTGGCGGCTTGACTAGCCTCTTTTTCATCCCCTCATTAGCTCTTTGAACAACCAATTAGATGTAGTGATTAATTTAATACCAACTAGGATAAGTCGGTCAATGGAATAATATTTGCTCTGCTTTGGCATAGGTCGTTGATATCACCTAAATTTGAAACTTAGTGTTTGATTTCAGTCCCATTTTATTCCACCAACTTTGGCTGCTTTTTATTATTATTATTATTATTATTATTATTATTATTTTGAGATTTGAGGATTGCAAATAGTCCAACAACTTGCAATAACACGATTTGTAAATGCATATTTGAACATTTGTTTTAATGGTATGATTATGTTTTTTCAAATTATGATATTTAAATTTCTTTATATATATATGAATTACTAAAGTTGAAGAATTGATATATGTCATGAAAATTAATAAATAAATAATTAAATGGACATATATCAATTTTATAATTTCGTTGTGTAAAATCTAAAAATTTTGTTATTGGTGTCTAAACCAACGTTCTTATGCACAGTATTGGGGAATTATCATTTACTTTTGCAAAGTCATACCCAGAATCATTTCTACATAGAAATGAAGGAAGAAGTGACAAATACCAAATCCTTATCTTCTTTCCTTAATGGCTGCCGTCCATAACAAGTCATGTTACGGTATCACTGGGGAAATGAAAGGCCCCCAGCACGATCAAAACAAAGCACAATCTTAGTAAGAATGTTTCAAAATTTTAGTCCAATCATTAATAAAAAATGGGAAGCTTCTTTCTAACGTCTTTGAAGTGATTAGAATCATTAACTAATTTAATCATAAAAAGTCTCTTGGTGACATTCATAGTCCTTTTTTCCTTTGTTTTTATTCTTTGCAGTGTTTGTTTGTCAAGTCATTAATATAAATTTCTTTTTTTTTTTAATTTCACTTTAGTGAGAAATAAAGATAAATTCAAAACCCTACATCCATTTGCCAAATTCTCCACCTTGATAAAAATGCCAAATTCTCCCATTCCCCTCTAGAAATTACTTGTTAGCAAACAAATTAGCTCTCTCTCTCTCTCTCTCTCTCTCCCCATGTCAAACTCCAGTATGCATCTCAATTTTTCTGCAACTTCATCACCCCTGGTTTTTCTCGTCATAATCCTTTTGTCAGTTCAAATTCCAACCTTTTTATGTCAAGGTAATGACAGCTATGTGGTATGCAGCAAACCATTTCAGTGCGGAAACCTCCTAAATGTTAGCTATCCATTTTGGGGAGGTGATAGGCCGGAGTATTGTGGGTATCCAGGGATGGAGTTAACTTGCCAGGGAGAAGAAACCCAGATTACAATCCTGTCAATAAGTTACAAAGTGATTGAGATCAACTTGGATATACAAGCTTTCACTGTGGCTAGAACAGATTATCTGACAAATCTTTGTCCCCAGAAGCTTGTCAACACCACCTTGGACTTCAGCTTTTTAAGTTATGCTTGGAATCTTGAGAACATAACGTTGTACTATGGTTGTCTTACGATTGCCAACCTGTCTTCAGGGTTTCCAAGTCAGTTTAACTGCAGCAACAATGGAACCGGTGTGAATTACTATGTTACTGCATCTGCTTTTGGCAATCTTTCAGCTGAAGTAAAAGGGGGCTTGGGATCTTGTCAAACCAATGTTATTGTTCCAGCTTTTTATACAGCAGTTCAGACAATAGAGAGCAACCCAACCCCAGAAACATTAGTTCTACCCCTTGGTAATGGCTTTGGGCTGAAATGGGATGCAAATATTGCTTCTCAATGTGATAAATGCAATGCTTCTGGTGGGAGGTGTGGCTATAACAACACTTTGGGTCAATTCACTTGTTACTGCTCAGATCATGCTTATGCATCAACTTGTCTTCTATCAGGTATGCAACAAAAACAGACAGATTATTTTGATTAATTAGAGTTTGCTGATTAAATCAAGTTTCTTGGACTAAATGCTTCATAGATGCAAAGGTTCCCTACATACCAATAATTTCTGGAAATTCCTTGGTGGATTTTTTGTTGTTTTATATCTTTCATCAGCCCCTTTTCAAGTCTAGAATTCCATCCATACAAAATTATCTCAAGCTACAAAATTTTAAGCATTTGGAAATTCAAGAGTCAGGGCTCGGAATCACTATATTCTGTTTTTTGGTATTTCTCTTCCCCAATCCATTTTTTCCTTCAAAAAAAAAAAAAGAAAAGGAAAAAGGAGCTATTAAAAATTTTCTTTCAAACCTCCAACATTTTCTGACCATGGGAGTCACAATCTATGTGCTCCCATGAAAATTAGTGGCGCCGCCTGAATTTTTTTTTAACCTATCCATATCATTGAATATAATATTGATTCTTATAATATCTATTAAATGCAAAATATTCAATAATCGACAGCCTATATGTCACTTTGAAATTTAGTTTATGTGAAAAAATCAGCTTTTAAATTGACAGATGATGACCATGTAATTATTCTAATCTAAAGTTCTTCCTTTAGATATGAAAAAGATGTATTCTGTTCAGGACCTTGAGTTTTGAATATAATTTAATAAAAATTTATTTGTTTAAAAAATAAACAATTCATCCTAAAGTTTTGAATTTCACAGGATAATTAGTTTTTTTATGGTAAAAATTTCATTTAAAATTTATTTTACTCTTAAAAAAATCTTCAAATATTCAAATAAAACAATATTTTATAATAATATTTTTTTAATTTTTTCTCAATATATCAAATCTATTAATATAAAAAATTTAGATACAACATATAAAAATAAAATTTACAATTATAAATATACTAACAAGTAAATATATGTATAATAAAACAAATATATTAAGCATGTAATATTATTTTGACATATAATAATTTTTAAAAAAATGAAGGATATAATAATGATCACAATTGAATATTTGTCAATTAGGTTTTAATTATTATAGTACTCGTAAATATTTTAAGCTTAAATCTATATGTTTGTGAAAATATAATAACAATAAACTTATTCATTTTAAATTAAAAATCATTTATAAGAAGTAAATCTAAGTTAAAAAGTGTAATGTTTAAATACCAATAATTTTTATTACTATATATTTAATAGATATATAAAATAAAGAATAATATATATAATAACTTTTGAGAGAAACTAAGGAATTTAGGTAAAAGAAAAGGGGGAAGAAGGAAATTGCTTTGATTTATATACAGTCAAAGAACAACTATATCCTTACTGTTATAAAAGCCCACTTTGACATTTTCAACTATGGAACCTTCTGTACTTAAAATTAAAATATGGTTGTCAATTTTCCATTTGTGAAGGAGATGCCTCTAATCATCTGTTCCAAAATATTGTTTATTGCAATATTCAATTCTTTTTCTTAAGAAATTTCCTATATCAAAAAGTAAAATTATTGTAAATAGTTGCATAATCTGTTAATAGAATCTTGAACTTTCAGTCTTTTAAATTTTAACAAGTTTAAGTATAAAAAAAAGTGAAATTATTAATTACTAATTTTTTTTTCTTTTCTTTTGTGTTACAGGGTCATCCAATGGGAACATTAAACTAATCATAGGTACTATATTAAACTCGTTTGATAAAATTTAATTTGCATTTACTCATATTTTATATCTGTTTGGAATACTGAAAAGCAACTAATATTTCTAACCAAGCTAACTGGCAATTCTCTAAAATGCAGGATTAGCAGTGGTTGGGGCTACTATTATGGTATTTTGTGTTGTGGTGTTTATCTTGAGGCTTAAGAAAGTACCCTTGTCAAGAGGAATGCTGATGAATTTCCAGCAAATGAAAAAGAACACTGAAAGGATTGAGGCATTTATTATGAGGTATGGTTCTGATCTTGCTCCGCATCGATATTCTTATTCAGACATCAAGAAAATGACCAAGTCATTCAAAGACAAGCTAGGGGAAGGGGGATTTGGCACTGTCTACAAAGGAAAATTACCTGATGGTCGTCTTGTTGCTGTAAAAGTCCTAAGTGAAACAAATGGGGGTGGGGAGGAATTCATCAATGAAGTGGCTAGTATTAGTCGAACCTCTCATGTCAATGTAGTGGCTTTTCTAGGTTTCTGTTATGAGAGCTCAGTGAGAGCTCTAATGTATGAATTCATGCCCAATGGATCTCTGGATAAGTTCATCTGTCATCAAGGATCCCCGGATAAAAGTCATGTACTAGAGCAGAAAACATTGTTTGAGATTGCAATTGGCATTGCTAGAGGACTAGAATATCTGCATCGAGGTTGTAGCACAAGGATTTTGCATTTGGACATAAAGCCTCATAACATCCTTCTAGATGAGAGCTTTTGTCCCAAGATTTCGGATTTCGGTCTTGCTAAGCTATGTGAGCGGAAGGAGAGCATCCTTTCAATGATAAGTGCTAGAGGAACGATTGGATATATAGCTCCGGAACTATTTTGTCGAAACTTTGGAGGAGTCTCATACAAGTCTGATGTTTATAGCTATGGGATGATGGTCCTTGAAATGGTTGGAGCAAAAGAAAATGTTCATATTGAAGAGTCTCTAACTAGTAAAATGAATTTTCCTTTATGGATTTATGAGCATCTCCAACAAGAAGCTTATTTCAATCTTCAAGGAATCACAGCTGAAGATGAAGAAATAACTAAGAAGATGATTATTGTGAGCTTGTGGTGCATTCAAACTAATCCATCGGATCGACCATCAATGACAAAGGTGCTAGAGATGTTGCAAGGAAGCCTTCAATCTCTACCAATTCCACCAAGACCTTTCCTGTTTTCTCCTCAGAGATCGCCTCCAAACTCCTCATCAACAGCATCATTATTTGCATCATCCACGACCATGAGTACTGAATAATAAGGGATTATACATATATATATATATATATATATATATCATCACTGTTTGATATTGTATAAAAATTAAAGATATCTCATGTGTGTCTAGATGATAATTTTCAACCTGTGATCACAACTATTATTAGTGAACTTCTTAAACCATTTTCTATAGCAAGTGTAGCTTTTTCGTTTTGTACATACACTTTTTATAGACCTAGTGAGTTCCAACCAGTTTCTCAAAACCTTTGCAGAGATCTTCATTCTGCTCAGTTACAATTTCAGTTGTGTTTATTACTCTCATTAGTTGTAGTACTGCATATTGACAAAAGATAATTAAGACTGTGCCTCATTATGGCCTTTAAATGTAGGTTCTAAATTCAGTTTTCAAATCTGTTCCCCTCAACTATATAAAAGGAAAAAAAAATGTTGATATGTAACAGTATTAAGTTTTTAAATGACTTTTCATGCGGCTAAAAAGTAAACTAGAGTTGAACCGAAGGTTTAACTTAGTTCATACAATTACCTTGACCTTACCTCCTCATCCTCAACCTCCCGAATTCTTTAAAGAGGGGTTTGTAGATAAAAGTTTACATAAATAATGCAACCAAGACTAAAGAATTTACATTGGTTTGGGGCATACAAAGCACAACAATTCATAATGAGTAGGATTGCAGGGCATTTGGTTCAAATGTATCTCAAGATTCATCGATCATCATCATATATCTTGGACTGATTTAGAGCAAGCTTCTTATTTTTTTGGTTTGAAAGGGAAAATCTTTTCATGAAAATGATAGAGACAAAGGAGAGCAACATTTTTAAACAACGATTAAAAGAAAATTTCTATTTAATCCCATAAAGCACTCAGACTGTCAAATTTTTCAATCTACTTTTCTTTTCAACTATAGGACAACATGAGGCTTTGGCTTTGGGCTAGGCAGGAGATTGAAGATTGATCCTTCCAGATCGGACGAAATCCCCTGAAGTCAAAGTTGGGTGCTGATCTATGGAACTCTAAACATCATCTACATATCTCCCATTTATTTCATGACAATAATTTCCTTTGTCTCCTTCAGCCAAATTTTGACCAAGAAAGTCAATTTTAAGAATTTTAACAAAGGGCAGGTGAAGGCAACAGAAATATTTGTAGGTTTCAATTTTAAAATGTAAGGAAACGTGGCTCTTTGGAGACCTTGTGTTGAAAAAAGGTATAGGGTCGCCTACCCCTAGCATTCACGCAATTGGGCCCGGCAATGAATCATTTTTCTAGTCAATATTTTGAGATGACATCAATGAACACAATTATTAACTGATGGATGAAATTGTTTTAATGCATTTATAGTTTTTTAATTTTTTTATAGGCGTATGGGTTGTTTATAAATATGATATATGAAATGAAGTGCTACCAAATCCATGAATTCATTTGGAAACCACATTTTTTTTATAGCTATTGAGCTTATTATTGAAAGGAAATCAGATTTCTTCTTCACTTTTTCGCTCATGGCTCTAGTTGTTAACTTTCTTCCCAAGGCCACCATGCTCCCCATGCACATTTCCAAGCTCCAAAAACCAAGAACTATAATACTGTAAGTGAATCAATTCTCAGCTTCTACTTTCTATAGTTTTTTGTTTAATATGAAAGCAATAATGATTCGGGGTTGAGTTTTATCGTACAAGTATGTATATTAAACTTTATCATTATGTTAGTTTGTATGATTAATCTTTCCTCCTCCTGCATCAGATGTGCTACACCAGATAGGCCAAGGACCCGAGCGGCGGAAAAATCAACAGCACCAACAAGAATTCAACAAGGACCGTAGTAGGGGTGAAGGAGGTTACCCCAAACAATACCCTGGATACTGGAGAAGATAACCAGAAGAGTAAAGCAAATGTTGATGATGCTGCTACTGGTAAGGGATCTGAACCAACTGATTAGTCATAATAGGTTTTATGTTAATAAGAAGATCGATGGCTTCCATCATTATGAATGAATCTTAAATTTGTAGTATAAATAATCTCAGTTTCCTTTTGGTCTCCTCTCTTTCTTGCAAAAAATTTCATCTCTCATGTATTAATTCCGTGATCATGCAGTTGATATTAGTGCCCGTTTGAACTCAATTCATTGTGCTTAGCTAGTGAAAATTTTTCTGTTAGATTATAAATTAAGTTTGTTATATATATTTGATTAGAAAAGTGTTGCAGCCCTAACAAATTCTTTATCTACCAGTCAAACAAATACATATGAAAAAAAAAAGAGAGACAAGGCCTAGAGATGAATTAAAACTAGGGATATATAATTTAAGCATAAAACTATATAAGTACGAATACTTCGATATTGATCATAAAGATACAAAATAAAATCTTGTAACATTTCAAACTTCTTCAATCCCAAAATAATATATGTACAATATATACCTTGATGATCAAATAAGAAAAATATTAAGGATTTAACTTGATTAACTTGAACCCCCTTAATTAATTTAAGCTACTTTGTTACATCTAAATTATTGAGTCTTGATTTGAATGCATCGTGAGGGCCCTGTCACCGCGTTGAAATCTGCATTTTGTGGACCTATCAAAGAGGATCTGTCCACCAACACCATTTCTCCCTCATCTCTCTTGCCTTTTCCTGCTTGCTAAGCTTAATTTTTTGCTCTATCTAGAACATGAGTTTCCAATAGTGAGAATTGGTCATTTTTCTATGATAAGGTTTTTCTTAGAATTTTATTGCACTGTTATCAGAAATTTAAGGCGAAGGGACCACAGGGGGATGTTGGAGCTAGCTGGCAAAGACTTCTGACCAATTGACCAATAGATTTAAGGGTTCTTAATTTATGATTCAATCACTTCCTAAATATTGAAGCCTAACAAATTGTTTGATAAAATAAAAAGGAAAGATGCCTAGCACATTAAAGTTGACCGTCAACGATATAGTTTAGTTTTTTTTTGGCTATCAACAATTTTACGTAGCTATCCTAAATTGAAGACACAAAGGAACTATTTACATTGACTTCTAGGTGAAATTGCTATAAAGTCTACCCTTTGGATTCAGTTGGAAACCACATTCTTTTTAGGGCTATCGAGCTTATCGTTGAAAAGAAATAAATTATCAGTTTTCTTTATTACTTTTTGCTCATGGCTCTAGTTGGTAATTTTCTTCCAAGGACTACCATGCTCCCAGGCACAATTCCAAGCTCCAATAACCAAAACCTGTGATACTGTAAGTTAATTAATCATCAGGAGAGGCGAATCCAACGAGGGTGGACATGAGCCATCGTCTTTTCAAAAATTTCTTTTTCATCATTGTAGTATAGTAATTTAGTCCGTTTAATGTCAATATCGATCCTTCTTTGTTCATTAACTTCACTGTTTGGTCCCTTCTTTATCTTAGACTTCGCCTCAGATCATCATTAACTTCACTGACTGTTATCAGAGATTTAGGGTGAAGGGACCAAAGGTGGTTGATGGAGCAAAGACTTCTGCCTTTTAGACCCAATAGATTTGAAGGATTACTTTTATGATTCAATCATGAATAATAAGCCAAACATTATAGTATAAAACGAATAATTAATTACTTCTTACACATTAATTAAACCCTAATAGATCATCTGATAAAATAAACAGGAAATTAGGTGCCTCATTGAAGCTAAAACTAATCACCACCCGCAGCAAAAGAAAAAAAAATCACCATCACTTCCTCGTCATCACCATGATGCGGATGTATATTATGAGGGAAGTTCCTATAAAAAATTTTATGGTGGAGAGGGATTTGGTTCTTCGATTTTTGAATGGGAATGTTGGTTTAATTTTATAGATCCAACATGAATATGCTTGGAAGAAGCTGGGGAATATATACAAAGTGTGGTATATATATGGCTTTAAATGACAAAGGAGCCTTGGTCTCCTAACTTTTTATTAATGGGGTACTTTATTATTTGACTCTACATACAAAGAACTCCGTTTGGATTCTTAATGTTACTTAAATTGTTCAAGCAAGGTTGACCTTCGAAGGCAATGGATCCTACCTTAACTATCTTTCCTTTATCAATAGGCCTTTTCTTTTTATTTTTCAAAGCCTTCATCAGGTCTGTTATACCTGCAAGTGCAGCTCTTGGGAATAGTTACTCAAATCTTATAACATATTTATTTGAAATTGACTAGTTATTACTTGATGGAAAAAAAAAACTTATAGAAAAAAAATTCTAAAAGTAAATGAATTCTTGATATGTAAATTTTTATGCTTATAAATAGATAGAATCTCTATAGAATTAGGTATGAAAAAAAATATATAAAAAAGTTATAGGGTTTTATGAGATAGACACCCCATAAGACTATTGAAAATTTATGTCATATATGTGTATATGTTTGAATGTTTGTGAGTGGATTGAAGAAACTGAGAGGATTCACATAAGTATAGTGCATAAGTGTACAAGGATATATGTTTTTTTGGGTTAAGAATATTTTATAGGACTAGAAGAGATTGAGAGGGCCTATGGGTATTAATTATTGAATGGTTGATATGATTTATTTGTTTGTAATTCTCTATAACTAGTAGATCTTATTTTTCATCCGTGGACATAAGTCGATTAGATTAAATCAAACTAAATTATTATCTCTTGTATGATTGATTGATTATTTAATTTCATTTATGCTGGTGTGATTGGATTGGGGCTTTTAGCCCAATAAATGATATTGGAGCTATGGTGATCTCTAACAAGTAGTATCAGAGCTGTGGTAATTTTTAATAAGTGATATCAAAGTATGGTTCGAACCTTGAGAAAAAAACAAGTCTATAAGAGCTCAACTCAAGAAAAAAGTTCGAGTTTGTGTTTTGAAAATTAGTTTGCATGTAGTGTAAAGACATACAAAAGAAAATATTGTGAGACTTATATTGTAAGCAAAGTCAAGTATGTTTAACATGAAAACAAATGATTTGATGAAATTTAAGTCAATGTAGAAATTATTTTTAATAGTGACTTAAATCCCAAAGCATATTTATTTTGGATTAGCTAAATATTACTTGACAGATAAGAAAACTTGCAGAAGAAAAATTTTAAGAGGAAATAAATTTTTGATAGGCAATTTTATATGCTTATAAATAGATAAAGTCTTTATAGAATTAGGTATAAAAAAAAGATGTAAAGAAATTGTCAGGTTTTATGGGATAGATAACTCTATAAAACTATTGAAGATTTACATCTTATAAGTGTATATGTTTGAATGTTTGTGAATGGACTAGAGAAGACTGAGATTATCCACATAAGTATGATGCATGAATGTACAAAAATATGTGTTTGTTTAGGTTAAAAATACTTCATAAGACTAGAAAAAAATAGAAAAAGCCTATGTATATTGATTGCTTAGTGGTTAATGTGATTTATATATTTGTAATTCTTTACAATTAGTGGATCTTATTTCTCATCTGTGGACATAATCGATTGGATTAAATCATATTAAATTATTATTTATTGTATGATTGATTGATTATTTGATTTCGCTTTTACGATGTGATTAAATTGAAGCTTTTTACCCAACAA